AGCAGGCGGGGAGTGGGAGGCGGGGGACCCTCACCCGCGACGCCTTGATACCTACATACATACATACATACATACATACACACATGCATGCATGCATGCATGCGTACATACATACATACATTACATACATACAAACATACATACACACATACATACATCCATATATACATACATACATACATGCATGCATGTCCAAAAACATACACACATACACACATGCATACATACATACATACACACATGCCTATATATACACCCATGCATGCATGCATGTATGCATACATACATATATATGTATGTTCCAAGATCGGGGATACTGCCAGGCCAGGATGTTTTCCTCATCAGCACGCTGATTCGATCTGTGTGCTGCGAGTGCCGAGAGCTTACCTGCACGAGTGCTGTACGCAACACCCGAAGAAAAACGGGCTGGACAGGATAGACACGACAGCCTGAAAACCCAGGATAGGTTTCTCGCCCTTAAAAGGCGGCTGAGAGGGAGGTTTGGGGAGGCAGAGTGCAAAGCATTAGCACGGAGTCTGTGGGTGCTTGAAACCAGAACGATTACGAAGCGAGAAGCGGCCTTCACGTGTCACCCTCCAGAGAACAATAGCATGTGAACAAGCGTCAATGTTCCAGGTTCGGGGACACTGCCAGGCCAGGATGTTTTTCTCACCAGTACGCTGATTCGATCTGTGTGCTGCGAGTGCCGAGAGCTTACCTGCACGAGCGCTGTACGCATCACCCGAAGAGAAACGGGCTGGACATGATAGACATGACAGCCTGAAAACCCAAAGCGCCATTTTCTTCCAAAGATAAACCCTGGTATTACCGCAGCCCCTTCGTCATTTACATTGCTTAGAAAGAGTAGACCAGATAGCGGAGGAGAACGCGTTGACGAGCTGGCGACACAACTGTGGCGGGTATGGCTCAGCCTGAAGCGTACGGTGCCGGCCCGACTGATCATGCCCTTGCAGCACGATATGAGGTCGACCACTAAATTCACATAATTTACGGCCAGCACAAAGACGCTGAAGATGTGCAAGGTGGACGTTAGCTGAAACAAAACGGGTGCGCTTCCGCCACGGCATACCATAAACGCAATAGTCGATCACGGTGGTTTCGATGTCTGGAAGCCTCAGAAGATGTTGCCAACGCGGGAGATTCCAAAGCCGACTGGTCCGCGGGTTTTCGATGGTCACCGGGATGCCGTGGGAACGAGCGAGCCTAAAACGGCCCGTTGAAAAAGCAGCAAGATGGTTACCTTCCTGAACACGTGCCAGAACCCGAAGAGAAAGCCCAGGAACACCTTCAGGATGAAGAGCGGTACGCCACCCTTCCCGATTTGCAGCCGAGAACGTAGTGCACGGGGCACCCGGCCAGAGGCCCACCACGAGGCCCGCTCGGACCCACCCACGGACAAGTCGACATAAACGAGAACCATTGAGATCATGGCAGGGTCCTGCACGGATGTCAATCGAAAAGACTGGGATCCCCGACAAGGCTCGACACGATCGCCAGGCCGCACTCCAGCGGGCCTGCCCGGCGAAAATCTCCACGGCAAAACGGCCCCCGCGAGGAGCTGCCGCGCGAGAGATGGCTGCAGGATCACTGAGCCAACGCGCTCCGCGCAGAGGTTGGCTGCGAGCTGCGTGACCTGGTCGAGTCGGTGCACCTGCTCGTTGAGGCGCCCGGCCTTTACGTAGCGGTGCAGCGAGGCGTCGGAGTCCCAGCGCCCTCTCTTCTTCACGCCCAGCAGGTCCCGTTGCCCCGAGTGGATCTCGCGAGAGGCCCCGCCGTGGCGCATCTGATAGATCGTCGCGGGAAGGAGAGGCCCGAGGGGCAGGTCGGCCACGGCGGCCCTGAAGTGGGCCGTCCACCTGGCGTAGTCCACGCCGGCAATCGGCTCGGCCAAAGGGCCTCGGCCCCGCAGGTGCTCCAGCACAACGTCGACCCACTTGATGTCCGGGTTGTCGTTCAAGAGAGACTCGTCGCACGCGTGAGTCTTGCTGGGGATCTCCCCCTCCAAGGGGTTCGAGAGGATCCCCCAGTGTCGAAGCCTCAGGGGGCCTCGCGGGACCGGAGGAATCAGGTCCCTCCGCCGGGCCCTCAGGAGCTCCGACGGCCGGCAGTAGAACGCAAAGTTGAGGCGCGTCATCAGGCCGGCGCCCACGTCCCCGTGGGCGACCATCTTGACGATCACGAGCGCTGCCCCGACCCATGGCATGGGCAGTCGGGCCCGCTTCGGCGCGAGGCGGCCGAAGCCCCGCAGGGCAGCCCGGGCCCGAGGAAGCTCTGGAGTCTTCCGAGACAGCCGGTAGGACTCCAGGTGGGCCAGGGCGGCCAGCAAGGCCGACGCGCGGTCGACTACCTCCCCGTTGAAGAAAAGGTCGTGGAAGTACTGCACGAGCCCGATGTCGAGCTCCCGCACCGTGCCCAGGGCGATCCCCATGGCCAGGCACCAGCTCTTGAACTCGCTCACCATCGCGATGTACCTCGTCCGCTGCTGAGGCTTGATGACGCTGTGCTCGAAGAAAGACGTCCCGGCAATCGGCCCCACGGGCGCGGGAGTCGGGCGAGCCCGGCGCCGCGCGGAGCGGCGGTCGGCCCGGCGAGCCCCCTCCAGCGCAGGCCGCTCCAGGTGGCTCCGAGGCGGCGGGCGGGGCCGCGGCGTCGCCGCCGGTCGCTTGCGAGGCGCGGCCCTCGCTGGCCGCGGAGGCGCCGCTGGACGAGGCAGCGTCAGCGGCGCCGAAGCCGGCAGCGAGCACACTGCACGGACCCGCCGCTCACGGGCATCAGGGCGCCCCCAGGCAACCTGAGCATCACCGGTGAGCCCAGCGTCGGACCCGCCAGCGACACCAGGCCACTCAAGGCCTGGGGGAGGTGGGATAGTCGAAGTAGAAGACGTGGGCATCCTGGAAGAGGTAACTCGAGCCGACGCAGCAGGCATGGCAAAGCGCTTTCCACGAGACCCGGGATCCCCAGCATTGTGTTCCGATGGTACCCACCTCGAAGTATGGTATGAGAACGACGCCAGGGCCAGAGAGCCACGCTGCCGACATACTCGCAGCATAAGTCTCGTAGAAGACCGGCCCTTAGTGACAGCGAGTATGGGGGCCATGGAGTCCCCGAGGTGCAGGCGCCTTCGGCCGAAACTCCGGAGTGCCCGGACCTTCCGCTTCACATCCCAGACCATCGCTCTTCCCTCAAGACACACCTGGGGTTCGGGGCGCCACCAGGCTCTGGACTCCGCGAGGGCCCAGGGGGCATCCCACAGAGAAACAAGGACCGGGGGCACAGAACCCAAGGGGACCTCAGGAGGGGAGTCCCGATGGTGACCTCCGAGGCGCTGCGCGAAGAAAACCGAATCCCGCGGGTTGAACGACTTCTCCCCAGACTGCGTAAACCTCTACCGCTCGTTGAAAGACCCCAAGGACGCAATGCCAAGGTCCGATGCCACATACGAACAGCCTCCAAGACCCCAAGAAGACGCATCCACCGCAGCGGCTTCAGGATCCCACTCGGCCCCAAGATCACGATAAGCCAACGCAATCCAGTGGCTCGCCCAATTCAGCTCGCGAAGGACAGACGGCCAGATTTTTACTGCACGGTCTCCAAGTTGCTTGGCAAACGCGTAAGCGGCATTGAATACACAGAGAAGCTCACGGCGCATGAGGCACCTGGTCGTGTAGCGTGAGAGAAGTATTTCCAGAGTGCGCCCAGGCGCGAAACGGCGACGACAGAGCTCGATAAAAGGCGAGTCGGATTTTCCAGCACATGACCGGATTCACTCCCACTTCAGCGGTATCTGACGAGAACTGCCAGCCCAGCGTCGCGCCGCCTATCGAAGACTCGCACGGATGAACAGGTAGCGGCGCCGGCGAAAGTTGCTGCGAGACCTCGTCTGCAGCGGCTTGCACAGCATCACAGCGGGAAGATTGACTGAGAGAAACGAAGTTGTCCACATATTCTGCATGGATAAGAGGATGCATAGCAATGGCAACAAACGCAGGCGTAACATATGTCGAGGGGCCCACCGGTTGACCACTGATGCTAGTAACCCCCGCGATGCCAGCCCGCATCCGAGGAAAACCGAAGTGCCCCCGAAGCGACGACGGAAGAGCCAGATTGTAGAACGCGTTAGCCACATCGACCCCGCCAACGCAGATAGGGCCCTTACTGTCGACCTGGATGCTCGCAAACGAGGCGCCACTGGCAAGGTGCACCGGGTCTGAATCAGAAAACCAACAACTTGCCCGTCCCCCATCAATAATGACTCTCAACTTTCCTGATTTCTTAAAAACGGCGACAATCCCTACAGACTCCCTGCACCCCAGCCTCCATTCAATCAGACCGGCCTCGCTCAAGCGGTTTAAAACAGACGCATACAGGCGGGGAGATCGCCGGAAAGCTGGATCTGTATACGCTCTAATGGGGGCCTGCTGCCAGGGACTCAGGAAGAAGTTTCGAGCAAACTCTATCAGCCAAAATTTCACCCTCCGGACCACCCAGCAGCTCCAAAGGACGAGGGGAGCTGCCCGGGGCAGGGAGATCCAGGAGGCAGACTGACGCTGGGCTGATCGGCGCAACGGTGGCGGGCTCACCATCGTAGGAGCGCCGGGCGCAGAGCTCTCGCAGGGCTCCCGCGCCGTCGAGCCCCTCGGGGGGGGGGGCCGATCCTGTTCACCGCAAGACGGATTCGCCTGATAGCCTCGTCCTGGGCGGCAGAAGGTGGCACCCCCCCCCCCCGAGATGAGGGCCCCTGAAAGAGATCATTCAAACTCTGAGCGATGTCCCGCACAAGCTGGTCACTGTGACCCGCGCGCTCGAGACGACGACGAGTGGCCCTGGAAAAAACTGACGAGGTGCCCCTCGGGGGGCGAGGAGAGGGAGGAAGAGGTAAAGGCAAAAGATCGCGCGCGCGATCCTCAGGTGTGGAAGGCCCCCCCCCTGCGCGTAGCGACCCAGGCCGGGGGGGGCTCCTGGGTCGAGGATGTCTGGCTTCATTGCTTCTTGAGGAGCGCTGCCCGCCCCTCCGTGGCCTTCCTCACCTGTTTCGAGATCGCTGCGTCCTTCTGAACCTCGGCGGCGACGTGATCCAGAAGGGATGGGCACACCATAGCAGCGCCTGTGTCCTTGTTGAGGCCCGAGAAGATCGCCGACTCATCCATGAGGCCGCTGAAAGAGACCGAGGGCTTACCAGCATTCTTGTTCTTCTCCGATGTTCCGAGAGAGTCCATCCAGTAGACGTACTCCGTGAGCTGGGCCTTCCTCATGATGAACTCAACCCTGGCCAAGTTGGACGGGTCGGCCCCGTCGAAGCACAGAAGCTCCTCGAGGGCCCTGAGCGCCGTCCCGTGGGCCTCGATGCCACACTGGTCAGCCTTCAGGTTGAACGTCGAGGTGAACCAGCGGTGGTGCGAAAGAGGCGTACTGGATCGGCGTTCCAACCACTGGGCGCACCAGAGGACGGTCCTCGGACCAGGCACCGTCCAGTTGCTCACCACACATTCGGCCATGTCACGGACCGCCTCAGCATAACCCCGACGAGGACGAGGGTCAGCATGATGAGCCTGGAGCAGGGCGCGGGGATCATTCACAGCTTCGAAGGCCTTGAAGACCCCCTCATCAAGATCACGGATGTTGCGCGCGGCGACGGCACCATGACTAGGAGGAGTGAAGACTGCCAAGTCCCCGGAGATCTGAGCATTCACTGGAAGCTGGTCCACGACGCCGCGAACGTTGAAGGACGTGCTCTCGATCGTGACCCACTTGTCTGGCACGGCCGCGGCAGCAGCGCCAAGGGGGGCCGCTGCTGCCGCGGGGCCAGCGGCCACCACAGCGCCCGCCACGGCGGGCCCACCGCCGAGGGGAGCAGCGCCAGCCGCCGGCCCAGCGGGCACAAGCGCGCCGGCGGCAACACCTGCACCTGGACCAGGAGCTCCGAGAGCACCAGCCCCAGGACCGGCGGGCGGCATGAACTCCGCCAGCGGCTGGAGGCACCCCTGCGGGTCCGGCACGAAGGCCGCACCGGCCGCCGCAGCCTCGGCGGCGAGGATGTCCTGGCACACCTGCTCAGCCGCGACGTTGAAGGCCACCATCTCGGCCGCCGTCGGCTCACGCCGAAAGCGGTGGGTCTGGGCGCGATCCAGGCCAGGCGGGACCGTACGCGTAGCAGCGAATCTGACGCCCTGGATGTCCACGCTGGAGCCGTCGTACAACTCGTCATAGACATCACGCTGGGCCGTCGCGATCAGCAGGCGGAAAGGCTCAGTCGGTCGAGTCGCCAATGGCCTCAAGCGACCCAGCACTCTCCGCTGATGCCAGAGCGGCGCGCCGGCGTACTGCACCCACGCCCATGGGGGTAGCTGATGAGCCGCCATGGTGCTGCTCGGCCCGTGCCCCTGCGCCGCTGCCGCGCGACCGCGCACGGAACAGGGCGGGCAGGCAGGCTCCTGCGGCCGCCCCGATCAGGCAGCAGCCAAGGAGGGTTGCGCACACGAGTGCCGACCAGAGCGGCCCCAGCCCAGCCAGCGGCGGGCCCTCGGCCGTCCCAGGCGGTTCCGCCGGGCAGACCGGCGACGGCGCTCCTGGGCAAGCCGGAATTGGCGGGCACGCTGGGCACGCCGCACAAGAGCAGGCTGGGCAGGCCGGCGCCGCAGGGCACCGATTCAGCCACGCGACCGAGATCTGAGATGCGTAGCCCAAGTATGGGGCCAGCGCGCTAAGCATGGGAGAACGAGGGGCCTGGATGTTTGCTTGAAGCCAGAACGATTACGAAGCGAGAAGCGGCCTTCGCGTGTCACCCTCCAGAGAACAATAGCATGTGAACAAGCGTCAACATATATATATATATATATATATATATATATATATATATATATTCATATATATACATACACACACATGCATGCATGCATGCATGCATGCATGCATACATACATACATACATACATACAGACAGACATACATACATTGATGTATGTATGTAATGTATATGGTTTTTCACACCGTGGACCCCCAGAGGTCTGGAACCGGCTCCCCAATGCCTGCTTTACAACCCTTACGACTCGTTGCTTGACGGTCCTGCGGCCCAATGAGGGCCACCAACAACCGAAAACGGCCGAATATTTTCCGTCATGATTTGATCGTTACGCGAGGAAGTCTGGGGAGGGAGGCGGCGGTGAGGGGGGAAGGGGAGGACGACGCGAGAGATCAGGGGGATGGCGAGCAGGAAGCTTGGGAGGAAGGTAGGGATCCACGCGGCACGAACCACTATGTTGCATTTTAGGGTGACCTTGTCTGTCCCATGGCGACGCTGTCTGCGAAAGGTCCGCGCCGAATCCATGTCGAACGTGGCGCACACGCCAACTTCTCGCCGAAGCCGCGTCGCACCCGCGTCGGAGTACAGGAGAGGACGCTCACTCCCTCAGGACGAGCAGGGCCCCCCTCAAGACGCTCGGGGATCTTCTGACCCGGGTCAATCCAGACCCGGGTCAGCAGGAAACCAAAAACTGCAATGCAAGAAAAAAAAACTGCAACGCAGGTCTTCGCAAACCCGGGTCAGCCAATATGCGCGGCCGCCTCGCGGCCACGAGCGGCTCGCTAACCCGGGTCAGCCAGAGGGGGTCTTCGCAGGATCCTGCAGGATCTGGCGCCCTGGCTGACCCCCGTTTGCACTGACCCCCGTCTCGAGGCTCCCGAGACGCAGCACAGCAGCAGGTGCCGTGGGGCGCGCCTCGGGATCTCGGTGCAGGACTCCGGCGGGTCCTCCGTGGGGCAGGTGGCCGGGCCGGCCAGGGCGCCGAAGGACTTGGCCATGACCTGCGCGCGGCGGTGGTCGAGCGCAGGGCACCACGGCAGCCCCCCTCCGACCGAGGAGATCGGCTCGGTCGCCGGCCCGTTTGCGAGGCGGGGGCCCGCTCGCTCCTCTTCCTCTCCTCCCCCGGATCCCTTCATCCTCTTCGGTCCTCCCCCTCCCAATACGTCCTCCTCATCCGGAGTCCGTCTCGGCCTCCTCCCACTCCCGCCTCCCTCCTCCCTCTGTCTCCTCCTCCATCCGTCCTCCTCTTCCTCTCTCCTCCTCTCCCTCCTCCTCCTCCATCCTCCTCCATCCCTTCTCCTCATAGATAGCGTATCCCTGTCGCAACCCCCGAAGTGTCGGTAAGGCCTGCTAGGCATTCCGCGTGAGACTTCGTCACTAAGTCCTTAAGTTGGCATGTGCATGGCTACAAGGATGGAATGGGGTCGGCTACATAAAGGGAACTCTCGCAGCAATTGGATGAATGGGGTGTCGTTATCAAAATGGATCTCTCGCCTTTTCGCTGCGCACGTTGTATAGCTTGCAAGATCTACGAGGAGGGACGAGGGTGATCCCAAACTGGAACTCTCGCAATACCGCCACGCACAGCCGACTTGAAACAATACAACGTCATGGACGAATGGCGAGTCCTGAATGGGACGTTCGCCGTAGCGCTACGCCCATCCACTTTGGAAGCTTGCAGCCGCTTCGATGCTCAAGACTTCCCGAAATCTGAGAATCGTCAGCTCGACCGTATGCACGAGCTACGCGGAATCAAGGCCGCTCCTGCTTCAAATTGGGACGATCGCTTTTGATTTCCACAAAGTCTACACTGGTCAACAATTACACCTACGCGGGCGGTCCATTGTCAACCAGAAGTTTCGGCGGACACCACGTTGACCTGTATGGTGTACGGTCGTTCATTCCTTGTCGCGTTTCTCACAAAACGATGTACTGCATTTCCTGTTCAAAGCGAGACGCTCGCCAGATTGGCAGGCGCGATACCAGTACAATGGGGTGTTTCTTGCAGTGAGAAAGGCTTGTGTATTGCAGCATCGTGGAAACACCTTGGGCCACCTTAGGTTATCTGGCCTCTCGAAATTATCCTTCCCCTCCACCTTTCGTTACCTTTCGTTCCCTACTCGTTCCCTACTCCTCCATCCTCCCTCCTCCCTCGTGCTCCTCCTCCTCCTCCTCCTCCTCCTGCTCCTCCTGCTCCTCCTGCTCCTCCTCCTCCTCCTTCTCCTCCTGCCCCTCCTCCTCCTCCTCCTCCTCCTCCTCCTCCTCCCCCTCCTCCTCCTCCCTCTTCGTCCACCATCTTCCATCTCCTCCTCATCCGTCCCCCCCATTTTCAACTCCTCCTCCTCATCCTCCTTCTCGCCCTCTTCCTCGAGGGGGGACGGGGCAAGGAACAACGCCATGCTACGCCGGCGTCTGGGGGGGGGGGCGACAAGCACCGCGTCCTTGCCGCCGAGCCAACACTCCTGAGGCGCCGCGTGGCGGGAGCCGACGACACCCCCCCGCCAGCGTTCCAGGAGGACGTCGGTGGCACGTCGAAAGGGGGAAGTGAAGGGGTGTCGGGCCTTCTCAGAAGCCGGTTGCGGCTTCAGCGAGAGCCCAAAAAGCTCCCCAGGAGGCCAGAGGTCTCTCCCGAGTTTTCTGGAAGGCCCTGAACCCTCGCCTTCCCCCCCTGGGCGCGACGCCGAGGGCAAGAGGGTGAGGAAGACGGAAAGGATACACGAACGAGTAGACACGAACGGATGATGAGGAGGAGGCTCAAGAGGAGCTAGGGGGCAAAAAAAGAGGACGACGCGCCCGAAGGAAAGACGGACAAAAGGGACACGGCTTCCCGAATGCGCGTGCGGGGTGGACGCGATCGCAGGCAGAGCGCGGGACGACTGAAGCTGGCGCCGATTGTGCCCGCCAGTCGTCTCTGTCGAATGCAGCCAATGGGATATCAAGACAGGCCCCGAGCCCCTGGCGAGGAGACCTCGAGCCTGGCTGGCGCCGAGGCAGAAGCGCGGCGGGGGTTTGACGCCCCACGCTTTGCGGCGAAGCCTGCAAAACACACATACACACAATGTGTGTGGCATCGCGGCCATTCGCGCGCGTCGCGGCATAGACAATCGAAGGGCACACCAGCACGCACGCGCACATTTCTCACCTGGCGGGAGCGGGCACGCCGAAGTTCCGAAAGGTCGCCCGCGGCCGACGTGCCCACCGGGAAAACCAGAGAAAGAGAGAGAGAGAGAGAGAAAGAAAGAAATGAGCGACCAAACCGAGCAAACCTCCGCGCGGACCCGGCCGAAGTGAAACGGGGTCGACTGACCAGGAAAGGCGGCAACAATACAGCACGCAACGGGGATTGCAGGCTAATCGGCCACTTTCTTCCCAAACCGCGAAGTGTCTACACCGTCGCGAACGATAAGCCAGGACACGTTTAGGCGAACAACCGCCTGGCGCAACAAATTGGTGGATTGGATCGGAGCAAGTACGCAGGCCGCGAACACGGACGCGCGTGGACAAACAAAAACGATGCGCAAACTAATCAGCCACACGCGCACAACACACACACACTTGTTCCACTTGCCGTGGTGGTGTCACGGGCACGCCCACATGTGTGGCGTCGCGGCCACTCGTGCAACGGGGCCGCGCAGGTAGCATGAACAAAGGAAGAGGCACCCACACCACAGCAACGACCAGAAACTCGCGCAGCTTCGTGAAGAGCACACGATTCGCCGATAGGCTATACGGACGCACGAGGTGGGGGTTGGGGGGTCGGGCGAGCACGCCACCAACAGGGGGGCGACCGCGGACGGGGACAACAACGTAGCGAGCGAGAGCGAATGCGCCCACACACACACACACACACGGACACACACACACACACACAGTCACACACACAGACACACACACACACACGCATACACACACACACACACCAGTGGCGCTCCAAGCTTCCGCGCCGCCGTTGGCGCGCGCAACCGGCGTCAGCAGCAACATGGCTGCCCGCGGGGGATGCGCCGGAGCCCGGACCCGGCACGGACACAACTCGGGGATCTTCTGACCCGGGTCAATCCAAACCCAGGCCATCAGGAAACCAAAAACTGCAATGCAAGAGAAACTGAGCCGCTCGTGGCCGCCTCGCGGCCACGAGCGGCTCGCCAACCCGGGTCAGCCAGGAGAGGGTTTTCGCACGATCCTGCAGAATCTTGTGCCCTGGCTGACCCCCGTTTGCACTGACACCCGCCCCGAGGCTCCCATTCTATTGATACGCTCCAGGGATTCGCGGATTCCTAACACCCTCTGCGCGGGGTACATTTTGCGTCGAGTATTGTCTACTCTGCCTGGCGCAGCTGGTCGGCCACCTATTCGCAATCGAATACTCGACCGTTAGAGGGGTATTCGGCACTTGCTGATCCCCCCTTTCGTTACCGAGCGCTGGGGGGACGGTGGCGCACCGTCCTGTCGCCCGCCTCCGCGCTCAGCGCGCCTCGATTCTGGAACATTCTCTGGGTGTAGATTTGAAAAAACCCGGGAAAGATTTTGAAAGTGACCGGCTTATTTTTGGAAAAATCCCAGAACCGATTTTTTTTAAAGCCCGATTTCAAATCCTTCAGATGTCCGGCGCGGCGGACGCATTCCACCCCATGAAAAACTATACATATATATATATATATATATATATGTACACATATGTATATATAAATATGTGCGTATGTGTGTATATCTATATATAAGAATATGCTCAGACTTTTATAAATTATGGGGAAAACAAACTCGCGCCAAAAAGCCGGAAGCGTTTTCCGGGCGGTCCGACGGGCGCGGCCAGCGGATTCACGCACCGCGCCGCGCGCGATTGGTCGCAGCGCGTGCCGCGCCCTGCGCCCGCGAACAGCACTCAAAGGAGTTGCCTCGAAAATTTCGCCGCGGCAGCTGCGACCCACGGGCTCCCCAAAAGAAAAACAGAATGCAGCTTGGAATCCCCGACGGCGCTCCGACGCGCGAAAAACGCGCCGCGCACATCGCGCACAGCACCCGCGCGACGGAACGCGCTCGACCCTTCGTCCCTGGAGCCCGCGCAGAAGAGCGGGGAAACCTGAAAATCTTGAAAACTACCCATATCAATGCTTCATGCTCCTCTGCGAGGTTTCGCCGACAGCAGCGCCCGCCGCGCCGCCGAGGCGCCGCGCCGCAGGCGCGCATCCCAGCCGGGGCCCTGCGCCGCTGCGTGCACCCGCCACGCGGCGCCCGCGAAAAGCGCGCGAGCCGCTCTGCCGGCGCGGGTGGCACGACGATCCCACTGGCCCCCATGGCTGCCCGCGTCCGCCGGCACGGCGGCGGCAGAGGCGCAAGCGCCGCGGGCGCAGCGGGCGGCGGCCGGGCCCTGGCGGCGCGGGGCCCGCGAGCGGCAGTCCAGCGGCAGCGCGCGCGCGAGCCGCCCGGCCCATGCCTCTCGCGATTAACGGGCAAGGCCGCAAATTCCACCGCAGCGAGCGCGCGCCGCGCCGCGGTCAGCGCTGCCAGCTGGAAGTCGAGTTCCAAGCAGAGCGCTGGCGGGGGTAACCGGGCCCTGGCCGCCGCCGCCCGCCAACCGGTCGGCGCCCGCGTTGCCCGCCCCGTCCTCCTCGGACAAGCCGCGGGCGACGCCCCCTCGGCAATCGCGTGGCCCAACGCGCCGCGAAGAATCCGCGAGGACCCCGCTCCGGCTGCGCTCCGCGACGCGCTCCTAGATCGGAATGCGCCCGCTCGAGGCAGCGCGCGCCGGCGCGGAGGGCGACCGCGCCATTGCGGACGTTGCGGGAGTCCGCGATGATCTCCACGGGCGCCCCAGCCAGGCTGACCGCCTGGGCCGCGGCGCGGCGCGCTGCGCAGTCTGCGCCGCGCCCGCCGGCCCGCTGCGGTCGCTCGCGCCGCTGGGCCCCTCCGGGCGCAGACCCCGCCGAGCCGCCGGCTTGCGCGCCCCGTCAGTCCACGCCCTGGATCCTGCGCAGATGTGGCGGCGCGGGCATCTGGGCAACCGGGGGCGGCGCTGGCGGCAGGGCCCGGGCGGCCTCCTCGGCGACGGCGGCGAGCCGCGCGTCCGTCTGCAACGCGCCCGCGTTTGCCACGCCGGGCGGCAAACGCGAGTGCAGCGCGGCCTGCGACGCCCCCTCCGTCGCCAGCGCGGCTGCCCTGTCGGCGCCCCAGGCCGGGAATGCCCAGAAGCGGTGTTCGCGGTCTTCGCAGGCGGCTCCGCAGCGCGGGCACATCGCCGGCATGCCCCACTTCGCCGCCGCCGATTCCGCGACGACGTTCCCGGACAACGCGGCTCGCAAGGCGCTGGCCGCGCCTGGCGCGAGGGCCCCCGACTCCAGCAGCCTTGGTCGCCCAGCGGCCCACCCCGCGCGCGACGTGGGCGAAGTCCGCCCGTCAGCCCGCCACGGCGGCTGCTTCCCGGCGCGCCCAGGCCTCAAGGAACACGGCGCGCGCGGCCTGGAACGACGGGTCGGCCGGCTGGGGGCGCCCGTCTGGCTCTCGACGTCGGTGCCGAGGCGGAGACGCGCCGAGCTCCATGGGGCCGCGGCGACAGGGCCAGCGCCGCGGCCGTGCCCCGCGCTCTGCCCGCGGCCCACCAAAGCGCCGATTGAAAGCACCAGCTGCGGAGCGCCTGGGCCAGACCACGAAGGCGCGAGAGCGACGGCCGCCGCCGGGCCCAGCCGCCACGTCGGGCTCAGGACCCCGAAAACCACCTCGGCGGCAACCCGGAATCGTCCTCGGTACGCGGCCGACCGCGCCACCGCTAGCAGCCCGGCCAATTCCCTCGCCGGCGGGCGGCCGCGCGAGGCGCCGCGCAGCCCAGCCGCGGTGCCGGCAACAGCGCCCAGCGTGCACCGATGCAAGAACTCCAGGGGGGGCCGCCCGACCCGTGCGAACCGTGCTCCAGCGGCGCGCGCCCTGGAGCCAGCGACGGCGCTGCGAGGCACCCGCTCCGCGGCAGCGACCTCCCTGAGACCCTCCCTGAGGTCGCGGAAGTGGCGACAAACAGGGATCAGGGGGGTCTGGGCCGCCAGCCATCTTCGGAGCGCTGAAGCGTTCGCGAATCGATGGCTCTTGTCGCGGTTGAGCCGCCAGCCAGCAGCGAGCTTGAACTCGGCGGCGATGGCCACGGCGCCGGCGACCGGCTCCGCCACGTCGCCGGCCTTGCCCCGGCTGCCGCGCGCCCACACCGTGAACTCGTCTTCGTCTATGCGCCACCGGAGCCGGTCGCGCAGCTCCCCCGTGCCTCGCTGCCAACGCAGCGCGAAGACACTCAGGAAGAAGACGGCCAGCGCGCAGCTGGGCAGCATCCCGCGCGCCGGACGCTATGGCTCGCCGATGGCGCGTCCGACCCGGATCCGGCGGGATGCCGCGCAAGCGCTTAGGGCTGGCGCCGCCACGCACGCGCGCGCATGACTGCGCGCACAGACACACACACACACACACACAGACACACAAATACATAGACACATATACTTACAATTTTTGGGCAGTCGCAGCCTCGGACGCAGCGACTCGAAGAGAGAACCGGCCAATCAAGCAACCGCCGTCGCACAGTAGCAGTGTTTGCTTGAGGAAGCACCTGCGCTGGAGTAGTGGCTGGCACTCCTCTGATGCGGGGCAGCCTGCTGCTGCTGCTGGGCGATCTGGCCGAGGAGCGCGCTGGATCCACAGCGTAGATCGTCTCAACTTCCAACGGGGAAGGCGGGGCGCGAGGCACGCGAAATGGAGGCAGGACAGAGCGCAGACCGCACGATTTCACAAAGATTTCTCTCGCACGGAACCTGACCCATGTTCGGGACTCGGGTAGACGAGAACCCGTACGAACGTCGCGCCCAAGGCCCACCCCTGCTGGACGTGAGAAGCCCACCGCACAGAGGGGATGAAGATGAGACGAGACCCAGTTTGGATGATGCAGCCTTGTTGAGAACCTGCATGGGCATGATCAACCTTTCCTCCGCTTTTTCAACTGGAACGCGTTATGCAAGTGTTCTGCCGTCGGTCCAACGCACTGTATGTTCCTGGAAGGTTTCGCAAACGTCATCGACGCATCGTCGAAATAAAGATAATGCTCGTGCCGCCGTCAGATTTCGACAGAAGGAAGTCCTGCAACTCATCGGCTTGAGCGTGCAAATTCGAATATACAGCTCTGTCAGCATGGTCCCAAAAATCTTACCTAGATGACTATCCTGGTAGAACGACCACGCCCGAACCCGTCATAACCTTATTCGATTTCACTGTCCGAACGTATGTGTGCATGAACACCGCCTCGGAACATGACAGTTGACTGATAGCCGTAATGCTGCGAAAGCTGAGGAAGCCTTGGATAGGGCCTCCTTCGTTTTGGCAGGCGTTTGTTTTGCTTTCCGAAGCATGCCTAAAAATATGTGATCTTTCGCCAGGGCGGGCAAGAACAGGCGAGGCACCGGGGTCGTCATCTGCAGGCTCTGGTGCTGGGTCTGGCGCTTCCTCGCCCTGAGCGAAAACATCCGCGAACATCTGGAGACGCGAACCGATGCACAATAACTGCAAACAACTGTCTCAACGACGACCCAACAACCAAACCAACTACGGAAAACCACAACCCTGAACTTTACAGTGGGCCCGCTTGCGCGGGAGGCCATGGCTCCAGGGAGGAAGCCCTGAGGTGCTATGAGATCCCTTTGGGGGGCTTGTATAATTCTCTTCGCCTACATCTCGGAACTCACGTTTGTTTTCGCACGGGTGCATACACCACCTCCTTCCCGTGAAACCTATTATGTTTCTGTTTGGTCGCGTTTAATCCGTGTTGGCAACATCCACAGCAATGATGATCACTTGCGTTTGTTTGAAACCTACTTGAAGGGAAACGCTGTCCGGAATGACATGTACACGTGACCTTTATGTATTACACCCTCAGTCTGACGCATACGTGGGATAGCCCCCGTACAACACTCTCCCCCTATCATACACCCTGGGGGGGGGGGCTGATTTGGGCAAGTTAGCTATACAAAGGTTGGCGGCCGCGAGGAGTTCAGCAGCGTGCGGGGAACGGTGGGATACGACCGAGACGAATCGGGGCAGCGGGACCAGGGGAGGCGCGCGCGGGGCGCGGGAGGGGGAAGGCCGGGAGGGAGCCCGGGAGGGAGCCAGGCTCAGATCATGCAGACCCTCGCGTGCATGCCGAGGTGTAGCAGGAAGACGTCGAACGCCATGGGGAAGGCATGAGGGCAGGGCAGAGAGTGAGAAACACACACACACACACTGTTCCCCTCCGCGCGCCGATGGGTTGCAATCAGCGGCCAAGCCGTACAAGGGCGGGCTGCGCTCACACACGTGCCAGAGTACTGAGGTGGGCACAATCGGGGAGAGGTGCAGTAATACATGCAGTAGTTGGTGCATAGTTTCGCGGGGACGGAGACAGTAATTGCCGCCCCGTGCAATAGGCCGTGCCCCCCCTTTCCCACACAGAAGCCGCATACGATTGCACGCAATAGTTTTCTGCTCGATTGCAGTGGCGCCTCTCCCCGCCGTCCTGTCTGCAAGTTTGAAACATCGCCCCCTTGTACTGCCTCTCCCCCACGCTTCTCTAGGGGGAACGTGAGGGGGGAATAGCATCGACCTGGAATCGGCGATGCATCGCCGATAGGCACACGATAACGAATCCGCGCACGTTCCTGGACTGAGCAGGGCTGCCTGGACGGCATCGGCGCTCAGTGACCGATTGGGGGTCGATGCGTCCTCCCTATCCATCCCCTAACGTTGTCAATCACAGATCTCGGCTTTCGGTTCATAACTCTGGTGTCCAGCGGCCGTTCGGGACGAATCCGGCACCTCTGGAACGCTCTCGACGAGGCTCATCTCATGGAAACTACCCCAGGCCTTGAAAACGTTCGAACACATATGCGAGAACATGCGACACCTTTTGCCCCCCTTGGGCCGTCCCCCGCCTAACGTTGCCCCTGACTTCTCCTCATCGCCGCGCGCGATGGCTGTCGTGATTGTCCAGCCAGAACGCGAAGTTGTCGCAGCCCGGGGTCGCCCTGCACCACGCCTCGTCGCAAGGGAAAGGGCGGGCACTTTGCCATGGCTCGTCCTCGTCCTCGTCCTCGTCCTCGTCGCGTCGTCGTCACGCAATCGTCGTCGTAGCCGTGGTTGTCGTGGTCGTCGAGGCACGAGGTTCGAGGCTATTCCTAAATGGTCTGGGCCCAGAAAGCCTCTACCCTCATCGTCCCCCCTGTTCCTCCTGCTCCTCCGCGTCCTCTCTGCTGCTGCTCCTCCTCCTCCTCCTTCCTCCTTCCTCCTCCTCCTCCTCCTCCTCCTCCTCCTCCTCCTCCTCATCCCATCTGCTCCTTCTCCCACCTGCCCCCCCCTTTGTCAGAAATTGACGGGGCATCTCCCGCGCTGACCCTGGCGAGGATCATCCGAGGTCTGTCCCAGAAGCGGGGTTCAAACATTCCGCTCCCAAATGCGGACCCCATGCTGTGAATCTGTGTTCCAGCCGCCTGACCGATGAGATGGCGTTGCATGCTACATGGTTTTCAATGCCATGAGCTTCACACATACTGTGCTGCGAGACGGTCGGTACCTAGCATGCCGTTACGCGCCTCTCGGCCGACTTCGCGGACCCTGTGCTCCCCTACTCTGGGGTATGGTTGGGATGAGCAGCTCGTGTTAAAAGCGTCCGCCCCCTTCTTCTTGTCATGCTGATCGTTTCGTGGACCTGCCTTTCTGGAGGCAGGCCACCGTTCAAGTTCCTCTCTGCTCCCCCTCCTGCTGCTCCGCACGCCTACCTCCCATATCTCCCTCCTCCTTCCCCTCCTCCTCTCCCTCCCCCACACACACACACTTTGCCTAGACTCGGTCCCACACTTTGCCTAGACTCGGTCCCACCGCCTGGCGCCAGCCCGCCGCCCGCGGTCCGGCCCACGGCGCCGCCCCGCCCCGCCCCGCCTCCTCTTCCTCCTCCTCCTCCTCCTCCTCCTCCTCCTCCTCCTCCTCCTCCTGCTCCTGCTCCTGCTCCTCCTCCTGCTCCTCCTCCTGCTCCTCCTCCTCCTCCTCCCTCTCTCCCTCATCCTCCTCGTCCTTCTTCTCCGTCTTCTCTCATTCGGCAGGTCCGCGAAGGCGCATACGGTTCGTTCCTGGGTGTGCGCAGGCGGATCCAATACTTCAGTTGAACGGCTTCCTCAGCTCGTGATCCACTGCGTACGCCTCAGCTTCCCTGATCAAAGCAACTCGCCTGGGCATCGTTTGTGGATGGGCTGGTGGGGATAGCGGAAACGTTAAGAATTTGATTCGCTCCCTTACATTCGTACTCCACCGCAGGTTTATGACATTCCCGACGCCGTGGGCGGTATCACCAGGAGGCCCTGGAGAGCGTCCAGTGCGGGCCAATGTATGTATCATGACTTTCATGTGTATTGCTGGTGGAGTCTTGGCGGACATCTGGTGGATGTTCCACATAGCTCAGACAACATAACTCGCACCGCATAGCTCAGGCAACACAGCTCAAACCGCATAGCGTACACACAACAAACGCATCACATAACTCATCACATATCGCTCGCAACGTCCTCTATCTTTGGGCGGCAACGAACCGACCCGTCGGCCTTACTATCATTGGGTGCAAACCGAACACAAGCTCACTTGCCACCATCTTCGGCCTTATCCGACCCTCCTCTTCGGCCGATTCTTGCTCATGGAATTGGCACGAAGAGAACGGGTCCTGAGGGAAACGTGTCCTTGACCCCGGGCTTTCCCAGGGGACAGAACTTTCGTCATGGCCAGTTTGTTTACGCTCATGGGTCCCATGGGAGGCCCAGGGACGGCGAAAAAGTACCGTCGATCTTTGTTGGTCCCGCGCACGAGGCTTTCAAGTTATACCTGGGGTCTCCAGCTACCGTTCGGGGAGACCCCAGCAACCCTGGAAAGCACCCCGAGGCGAGAAAACCTCCAAAAACCCTCGCATCTGCGCGAACACACTGCACATGTTACCTTCTTTTCCGTCCATGGCGGATCAAACATGGCGGCGCACCTGGCCGCCGAGGGCAGCCGGGATTCTGAGCCCCGTGTGCTTGCCTGGCAGTGCATCGGGGTTCTCATGTGGAATGGCTGCGTGTGGCCGGGCACCTCCATGGCCTGGTGGCCGCGTCCGTGGGGTCGCTCGGAGAAGAAAAGGGAGGAGGGAGGAGGAGAGAGGAGGAAGGAGGGAGGGATGAGGAAAGAGTAGGAAAGGAGAAGGGAGGGATAGGGGAGATAGGGAGGGAGGACAGGAGAGGGGAGGAAGGAGAAGGGGAGATGGAGGCAGGGAGGGAAGGAAAAGAAGAGGGGAAGGGCGAGGGCAACGACACTGCGCCACGCAGGGGCATCGTCCTCGTTCTCGTCGATGCTGTCGTCCTCGCTGTACTCATCCACCTCCGCTCCGTTGCCTTGAAAGTAACTCCTCCCGATCGCACACCGAAACGTGTCGGCAGGGCGGGCCAGACGTTTCGCCTGAGACTTCCTCTCCATTGAAGATTGTGAACCATAAAATTGGCAACAATTTCACGGATGGAGGGCTCTCGCCTGAACGCCGCGCACATTCGTCTTCAAAGGTTGAACAAGCTTCACGGATGGAAGGCGGATCATGTTCAACATGTGGCTCCTGCCTGAGATCCACGTGCGTTCGCTTTCTTCACTTTGCAAGAGCTTCACGGATGGAGGGCGGGTCCTTTTTCAAAATGTTGTTCACGCCTGAGCGCCGCACACATTCGCCTTAGTAAATTGCAAAGCGTTTCACAGATGGAGGGAGGGTCGTTTTCAAAATGTCGCTCTCGCCTGAGCGCTACGCACATCAGACAAGATCTTCACTGGTGGAGAGGTGGTATATTGAATGAGGCTCTCGCCTGAGCGCCGCGCACGCTCGTTCTTTCAACATGCAAGAACTTCACGGATGGAGGGCGGGTCCTTTTCAAAAATGTTGTTCACGCATGAGCGCCGCGCACATTCATTTCAAACATTTGCGAAGGGTTTCAAAGATGGAGGGCGGATCTGTTGCAAAATGTGGCTCTCGCCTGAGCGCCTTGCATATTCGTCTTCAAAGTTTGCCAGAGCTTCACTGGTGGAGCGGTGGTCTATTACATGAGGCTTTCGCCTTAGCGCCGCGCGGCAAAAGTTTGCAGCAGCTTCACGAATGGAGGGAGAGTCCTTTTCCAAGATGTGGCTCTCGCCTGAGCGCACGACACAGGCACGGATGGAATGCGGGCCGTTTTCACATCCTGCTCTCGCCTCCGACTGCGAAGTTTGCAAGGGCTTCATGGATAGAGGGCGGGTAGTTTTGAAGATGTAGCTCTCGCTTCAGCGCCGCGCACAGTGTTTCCAAGGCGTCCAAGACATGTACGGATGGAAATCGGGTCTTCTCAGAATATGGTTATCGCCTGAGCGCCGTGCACATTTGCAGTGACCTCCCGCACAGATTTAACACGTCATTTTGGTTGACGTCTCAGAAATTGTCTTCGGGCACGATGAAGGGTTATCAGGGCACGACACTCACATTGATTCGCGGTACTGAGTCCCAGAAGTGGTGTCCTGGCACTATGCCAGATCGTCTAGGCGCAACATGAAAGTTCAATCGCGGAGGCGAAGTCCACGGAATTGTCCTTCTCTCCCTCCTCCTCCTCCTCCTTCTGCTCCTGCTTCTCCGTAGCCATTTTGGCTCGAGCTGGCGCTTTGCATTCTGCCCGGTATCGGACCCTCCTTCATACAGTGCCGGCGCGTTCGGTCATGGCGACGATCGATATTCGCCATACCGCGGCAAGTTTGGTGTGCGCCCATCCGAGTGCGGCAATCGTCTTGGCGTCGGCGGTTGGCAAGGCCGCGGGCGGCGGCCCCCCGCAAGGTCGCTGCTGCGATGGTGGTGGCGGCAGTTCGAATCTCCAGTTTGAGGTTCGCCTGATGCCGTCCACGATGATATCAAGACCAGGCTGGCAATCAATGGTGGAGTCAGCTCGTACTGAGTTGGTCAATGCTGGCCCTTTCGGAGACCCAGCCCTCAATGGTGGAATGAAGGCCAAGCGCAATAAGGGCCCGCACGTGGACATGGGCTGCGGCGTGGACGGCCTCCCGCAGAATGACAAGGAGGCCAGGCGGAGGCAGCGCAGTGGAAGCAAGAACAAGGATAAGGCCACTCTCAAGCTGACAGAGCAGAGCTGCGAGCGCTAGGAGGGGCTCTGCAGAGAATCGAGTAACACGTCCGTGGCCAACCCACAGGGCATCCTGCAGCTGGGCATCGAGGGCCCAAAGCAGAAGCAAGTCGTGGGCAAGTCAGTCAAGGATGCTTGCATGAGCTCGAGGTCATCGGCGTCTCCGAGAGGACCTTAGTTCGGGAGGTCCCTGAGTGGCGGTCGCGCAGGCCCAGCACGGCAACATCATGCAAAAGAACAAAGAGATGGCAGAGGTGATCGCCTCGCTACATCTGATGGTGGTTCTGGATTGCGTGGTGGCCCGCGCCCAGCTCAACGGGTTGGTGCTCCAAGGCGCTCGGCAGCCTGAGCCAAAGCTTCTCGAGGCGGTCAGGAAGGAGTGCGACCTCGGGAACCTCCTGGAGCGGCCACTGAAATAGTTTGCAGTTCAGTTCTCGGCTGCGCCAGGCGGTGGGGGGCCGCTGTTTCCCTAGCATCGGCGGCTTCGGCATCTCGTCGGTGCGCGAGTTCAAGTAGCCAGCGCGAGGGGCAATGAGGCTGCGTGAATTCGAGCTCGGGGTGCGGAGGCTCGTGCTCCTCCTGCGCCCCGCCTGCTGGCTGCTCGGCGTCGCAGCATCATCATCATCAGCAGCATCATCATCATCATCATCATCATCATCATCGTCATCATCATGAACATCACCATCATCACAATAAGCATCATCAGCAGCATCATCAGCATCATCATCATTACTTATACGACCAACCGTCGGGTGATAAGGAGGTTGTGGGGGGAAGAGGAGGGGGAACCAACATCTGACTCAATCGATCTCACTATCGATCTCACTCAACGGGACACCACGGGACACCACGGGACACCACGGGACACCTGTCGATCTCACTATCGATATCACTATCGATCTCAACGGGACACCACGGGACACCACGGGACACATCGGGACACCACGGGACACCACGGGGCACCTCTCGATCAAACTCTCGGTCTCACTATCGATCTCACTATCGATCTCACTCAACGGGACACCAGAGGACACCATGGGACACCACGGGACACCAAGTTTATATCATGATCGATCTCACTATCAATCTCACTGTCGATCTCACTCAACGGGACACCACGGGACACCATATCGATCTCATGATCGATCTCACTATCGATCTCACTGTTTGGGACACACAAGACACCACGGGACACCTCTGGGCACCACATCGATCTCAATGTCGATCGCACGATCGATTTCACTATCGATCTCACTCAACGGGACACCACGGGACACCACGGGACACCACATCGATCTCATGATCGATCTCACTATCGATCTCACTTTTTGGGACACACAGGACACCACGGGACACCTCGGGGCACCACATCGATCTCAATGTCGATCGCACTATATTTCACTATCGATCTCACTCAACGGGACACCACGGGACACCACGGGACACCTGTCGATCTCACTATCGATCTCACTATCGATCTCATTGTTTGGGACGCCACGGGACACCTCGGGGCACCACATCGAGCTCAGTATCTCTCGCAGTATCGATATCTCAGTATCGATCTCAATGTCGGTCTCCCTATCGATCTTATTAACTATCGATCTCACTCAACGGGACACCACGGGACGCCATGGGACACCGCGAGCCACCGCGGGACGGGCGAGCGGGGGAGAATCATTTGTCTTGACTTCACCCTAGCAAGGGCGGACATGCGGGACACCACGGGGCACCACGGGACACCGCGGGACACCGCGGGCCACCGCTGGACGGGCGGGCGGGGGAGAATCATGTGTCTTGACTTCGCCCTAGCAACGGCGGACACCACGGGACACCACGGGACACCACGGGACACCATGGGACACCGTTGGCCAACGCCAGACGAGCGGGAGGGGGAGAATCATGTGCCTTGACTTCGCCCTAACAACGGCGGGTTCATTCTTCTCGCGCGCCCACGCAGCTTCGCCTCGCCCGCGCGCACAACCAGAACGGAACTAAACGATTTCCCTGTTGGGGGTCTCCGTTCCACTGCGATCTCATCCCCCAACCACCGATCATCATCATCATCATCATCAGCAGCAGCAGCATCATCATCACCATCATCATCATCATCATCGTTATCATCATCATCAACATCAGCATCATCATCATAAACATCATCATCAACATCATCATCACCATCATCACCATCATCATTATCGTCAGCATCAGTTTCATCATTACCACCAGCATCATCCTCGTCATCGTCAGCATCGTCATCGTCATCATCATCCTCATCAGCATCAGTATCGTCATCATCATCAGCAGCATCACCATCACCGTCAACATCACCACCATCATCATCATCATCATCATCATCATCATCATCATCATCACCAGTCGGCATCAGAACCACGACTCATGCATCACCGTCACCATCATCATCAGCATCATCGTAACCAACAACATCATCATCATGATCAGCATCAGCATCATCATATCCTCATACTTCACCACGTGCGCCTCATCATCACCATCATCATCATCACCACCACCATCACCATCACCATCACCATCACCATCACCATCATCATCATCATCATCATCATCATCATCATCATCATCATCATCCTCATCTGCCCCACCCATCCCACTCCTCCCAGGGTTGTGAGGGGCATGAATAGCTCCCTTCTCCTCCTACCCTTCCCCCCGTGGCCTGAGGGATACAGTTACCTCGTCCCTGGGGCTCTGTCGGATCGGTACACATACTTGCTCCTCTTGTAGCTTCCTAGATTGACCACACACACACCCCAGGGGCAAACGCCCCTGGGGGGGGGGACGGCATGCCAGCTCCGGTAAGGACATAATGCCACTAGCTCGAAGCTCGAAGGTCGGGAAGGTTCGAGGAGGAGGGTGGCCAGGCTCGAGGAGGAGGAGGAGGAGGAGGAGGGTTCGAGGGGGAGGTTCGAGGAGGAGGAGGTCGGGAAGGTTCGAGGAAGGCTCGAGGAGGAGGAGGGTTGAAGGATGGCGGGGCGCGCGGCGGGCGGAGAACGGCGGGCCGAAGGACCTCTCCCCCCCCGGCCCCTCGGGCGGGCCGGGTGGTATCTGTAGCCGTAGTGGTAGCAGCCGAGGACCTGGCCGCGGGGCGGAGGCGGCAGGGCAGCGATAGCAAGGCACCAACTATACACCAGCACCGATCCTGGCCAGGATCACCCCGGGCCCAGGATCGGTGTATACGCCCTCCTGCCCTGCGCAAGAAGGCAATATACACCGATCCTGGGCACAGGGTGATCCTGGGCCAGGATCGGTGTTGGTGTATAGTTGGTGCCCTCCGAAGCGAGAGGACACGCCGTCGCCGAAGGCAGCGAGCAGCATTGTCGTCGGCGCCGTGGTCATCGTCGGCGGCATCGCGCCGGCCTCTAGGTTGTCAAGCCCGTGGTTCTGCGTCGACAGCTCCGCCTTTAGCTTGGCCATCGCCTCGACGGGGCGGCGACACGGGGGGGGGAGGAGGGAGGGGGATGCTCCGAAGGTCTCCCGCCATCTCTCGCCACCCTCGGCCTCTGTCGGGACGCTCCTCACTGCATTTTCTCCGTCTCTCCTGCCTCCTTCTCCTCCTCCTCTCTTTCTTCTTCTCTTTATCCTCCTCCTCCTCCTCCTCCTCCTTCTCCTCATGCTCTCTGCCTTCCGCTCTCCTCCCCCTCCTCCGTCCCTCCTCCTCATACACCTTCCCTCCTGCTCTGGTCCTCCTCCTTTTCTTCGCCGCACACCTGTTTCCTCCCTGCTTCTGCACCCTGTTCTGCACCCATCGTCTGCCCAGAGGGTCCCGCCGGGGGCGGGCGAGACCGCTGCCAGCAGAGGCGGGAGGCTCGGCCAGGGCACCAAGCAGACGAGCGGCAGAAGACTTGCCGTATTTGTTTCGCCATGCGCAGCCCAAGAGCCCCTGCATTCAGTCATCGTACTGGCCTTGTGTGCTCACGGCGGACATCGGCTACAACTATGCCCTCCGAGCACGGACACGGAGAACCTCGGTTGCAAGAAGCGTCCAGCAAAATCCAAGAGGCCTCCAGCAGGCTCCAGGGCACCCTCAAGACGCTATCTCCAGGAGGCCCTCGAGCGGCCAAAAACAGAGTCGTCCCTGACGTGTTCGATGATGCTTGCTTTTTGTCCGCGCTCCTCGGTCGAAGAGCGGTCCATCTGCGGCATTAAAGAGCCCAAAAATGGCCCACTGAGAGCCTCAAGAGGGCCCCTAAGCGGCCCAGGACGGACGGCCTCAAGGGAGCCCCAAGCTGGTCCAAGAGTGAAGGGGCCCTGGGACACACAAATAAATAGACACATAATCGGATTCCCCATAGTTTCCCATATTTTCTGGATGTTCGTCTTCCCCCCCCCCATTTCTCATATTTTCGTAATTTTCCTGGGAATCGACGATTACTTGTGTCTGTGCTGTTTCCCCTCCTGAAAGAAGGCCTTCGGAGGGACCCAAGCTGGCCGAAGAGTTCACGCCTTTGCAGAGACGGCCATCGAAGACACCACGACGGCCCCACGACTCCCAAGAGACCCCAAGAAGGGATGAGGATGCCAAGACAGCCTTACGAAGCCCCAAGAGACCTCCCAGACGGCCCAAATGGTCCCAACACAACACTCAGGACGCAGCAGTCACGTTGATTCGCGGCGCTGGAATTTCAGGAATGGTGTTCTAACGCGATGCAGGATCGTCATGCCGCGACAATCGCGTTGATTCGCGGCGTTGATGTCCCAGGGAGGGTGTTCTGGCAAGATTGGGCAATTGCAGACGGCTGTGTTTCAATGGGGCCTTTCCCGCGACGCAGGTATGTTATGTAACGAACAACATGCAACATCATGAAACATTCGGTTGGAATCTGGATCCAGTCTTTCTGCGGCATGTTTTGAGCTGGATCGATATGTGAGGGTCCTGGGGCCCGAGGCGAAGCAGAACCGCCGACTGCGGAACAGTTGCGACGACAGGCTCTCGAGGCCCCTCTTCTCTCCCCTCCCTCCCTCGATGGGGGGAGCAGACGAGGAAAACGAACTGTGCACATACACCGATTCTGGCCAGGCGTAGAGGGACAACAAACTGGGTGCATCGGCGCTGGTTCCCTCCCCCGGGGCGCGCGGAGCGCGCCAGAGGCTGCGCAAAGGGGCACCGCCAGGGGGACCGAGCGCCGAGCCACAAAATTCGCGCGGACTTCGAGCAGCTATGTGTACCCCGTCCCTCATTTTTCGAACAAGGCAGTGAGCCCTGAGAGGGCGCGGCGGCCCGCGGGGCAGGATCAGTCAGCATCGGATCGGCCAACCGGATCGGATCGAAATGTGCATCGGGTCGGACTGCATCGGCATAGAGTCGACATCGAATCGGCTCGGCTGCGCTAGGGTGTGCACAACAGCGCCACGCAGGCCATCGGGCCGCATCTGACCCTCGGGGTATCAGAACCGCATCGGATCGGGACGGCCAAAATCGATACCGAATCGTAGAGATCAACAACATCCACCCCCATAATAACCACCCCGACACGCGAAGTCGTTTGGTACAAGCGCCCCAAGGAGGAGTCGAACAGGGCAGGGCTGTCCGGTAAACGCTCAGGGCCGTTGAGCAAACGCCAACTGTCCGGTCCTGGAGGCTTCCCTTTCCCTCCCTTGAAGTCGGGCCGATCCGATCGGCATCGATACCGACTCGGAATCTGCATCGGACCGGATCGACCGGAGCGAGGCGGGCCCCTGGCGGGGCGGGGCGCAGCCTCGGGCGTGAGCTCCTCGGCCTCGGCGAGCGCGGCCCGGGGCACGCCCGCGGCCTGCCGCGCGGGCGCGCGCGAGGGCGGCAGGCGTTCGAGGCAGCCTCGCTGCGCGGCGGGGGCGTCGCCTAACGTAGCCACCGCCTGGGGGACAGGTGTTCGGGGGCCTCGGCGAGTGGTGGATGTTGGCATACGCGTGCGTGCTGCGTAGCCGCCACCGTGCCCAGACACGGATTGGGCGTGTCCTCACTTCCGCTGCCTGATCCCTCAAGCCTCAACGGATAAGCCTCAGGCCTCTCTCTTCTGCAGGAGTCTCTCAAGGGCCGGGGCCTCTGGGCGTAGGAAGTCTACGGAGGCTCCTCTTCCAGCCCCATCTTCCCCTTCGGGGAGGGGTTGATCACTGTTCCCTATTAATATACATCCCCTCCCCCAGGTGACCGGCAGCAAACCAGGAACAGTGAGGACACCATGAGCCACCCCCCACCTTCCCTGTCAAAAACAACATGATACACTTTGGGGCAACGTCTGAAATCATGTTCGTGAGGCTCGCGAGTACTTCGTGCTGTTTTGTTGACAGGGACGGCGGGGATGTCTGCATATTGCCTGCTGCGCGCAGGACGACCATCCCTGACAAAACACAAACCATGCAAAATGCACCTCGCGGCAAAATCTGGATCATGCGCGGTCAGGACGCGATCACTGTCAAGTGGTGGCGTATGGCCTGCTGTTTGCAGGCACGCCCGACGCAATGATGGGCATTGGTTTCGACATGGATGGTGGGGGCCGACATGTTTCCCGATGTGCGCTGTTATGTGATAGGACGGCGGGTTGGAGTGAGCATGACGGCTTGCTATCGAAGAGGGTGTCTTGTCGACCTGGACGGGGCGCCCCGCGAGCGGTCAGAGCATCTAAGATTGCCGAAGACGGCTCCGAGAGGGCCCCAGAGAGCCCAGACCTCCAAGATGACACAAACTCCGCTGACCCTGTCGGCGTGTGCGAGGGGCTCCTCCGTTCGAGTTCTCGTCTCCGTCGTCGCCTCGTCGTCTTCGTCGTCGTCACATTTGTCTCCTCGCCGTATCCGTTGTCCCCCGTCCGTTTCCCTGGGCCCCCCTCGAGCGTGCCATCCAAAGCGAAATTGTACAACGTCGCATTGGAGTCGAGGGGGACCCCATTCCCTTTGATCCCTCCCCCGCGGGGGGGGGTCCCGGGGGGGGGGGTCGGCGCAGATTCGTTTTCCCCCGGGCGGCCCCGACTTATCGAACAGCCCCACAAAGAACCCATTAATGCCGAATATGGCTCCCAAGATTGCCCACGAGAGCCCCGCGTCGCTCAAAAATCGGCCCGGCGCGGCCAAGATGACCCCGAGACGATCCAAGAAGCCTCCTGGACGTCCCAGGGTGGCGACAGGCTGTGTGATCGTCTTTGTTTCTGGTTTTCGTCGGTTCAGTCCACGAGACCCAACGTCTGTGCAAACAGGGCGCAAGTTCAATATCTGGGGTCAATGTTGGTGCTATTTGTTGGGTTCTTTTCGGAAACAGCACCGTGCAACCCTGTGTCGCCAATAGCGCAGGTTGCTGCGCTCGGTGGCTGGTATGCTGGCGAACGAAAGTAGCAACAGCGCGCGGTGGAACATCGGGCGAAGCCTTCTTCGCAGGTGAAACAGCACAGCGCAGGCAACAGGCGATGGGACACAATGGGATATCCAGAACACCTAGGGGATGTCATGCACACTCACCGTGAGGAGGGAAGGGGTGGTGGAGGTGGAGCACCAAAAAGAAACATGGAATGCGTATAGGCAAGGCGCAGGTGGGAGCGGTGTCCAGCTGCGCGGTTGCTCCTTTTTGAAGAGCGTGCGTGCTGCTGCGGGCGAGGTGGCTGGTGAGCGGTGTTAAGCGAGGCTGGCGCATGCGGGTGTCGATGGGAAGCCAGCGGCACATCCCAGCCCCTGGATCCTCAACCGCTTGCCCATCCCTTGATCGGCAGATGGGGCAGGGCGGAAGCTGGACAGCAAAACCAGGGCGGGCCTCACCTATGAGATCCACAGGAGTGGCTGTTGCCGAGAGTGTACTCGGGGGAGGAGAAAGGAAAACATGATAGCGAAAGGAGAACGTAGGGAAGAGGGCAGGCCGGGGGAGGCTTTGGGCTGTTTGGGCTGGCGGGTGTGCCCTGTCGCTGCCCGCGGGAGTGTCTCGCTTGGGCGCGAAAGAGTCGCCGCTCACGCCGCCTCCCTTGGGAGGGGCGATGGGCTGAGCGAGGGCAGTAGCAGCAACGGCAAGCAACTAGGCGGGACAGCATCACCGTCGTCTCAACCGTCTGGCGTCGCGATGGCATTCCGCATCCCCCGCAACACGAATGCCCGCCCCGTCCCCGAGCCCCGACGCCTATGGCAGCGGCGCGGAAGGGCGAGGGGAGTGGTCGGGGAACCCCAGGGTACGGCCGCGAAGACGGCGGATGTCGGAGGGAGGGAGAACGAGGCTATTACAAACTGGAACGACGGGGGACCGACCGTCGCACAACAGGGCAGGCGCACGACAGCCGAAACGGGTTGGACTCTAATTCCGGGGTCCGACACAATGGCGGTTGCCGAAGGTGCGCCAGGGGAAGGGGACAATGGAGATGACGGCGCGATGCAACTAATTACTGTCACGTGACGAGGTAACTCCTGCAAATCGTTAGGGTCTCAAGGGCCTGAGGACTGAGGCCCAGCGGAAGTCCCAACTCAGGCTAGGTGGTCACCCAGGATCCAGTCGGCCTTGTGCTCCACTATCCATGTAGCCACTGGTGTGTTGCATGGGTGGGACGTGGTGCAGGTGGCGAATGCACCAAGCTCCACAAGCGACACTTCGTGGCATGAGATTTGATCGTCGCGCGAAAACTTGGCGAAAACGCTCGGGCCCCCTGTCCGCTCGAGACGGGCCAAGCGCGCTTGGTCCACAAGAGCCGTGGGCGTGTTCCTCCATGACGTACCGCGGCATGCGGATGTCGTTGCCGGGGGCGCCTGCCTGCACGCAGAAGTCATGGATGACGTGGTCCTCTAGTTCCCCTTCGATGTCCTCCGCATCATCCACTGTTAACAAACCCCGTGGGGGCCCATGGAGGCAAGGAATGATGGGAAGGCAGCCACACTCGTCGCTGGCTCATATCCACTGCCGGCTGGAGGGGAAGCGGCCGCGGCGAGGGGTAATGATGCCTCGGCCACGCCCTTCCGCAACTCCAACCTGAAGTTCTCGTTGCTTTCGTCCGAATGCATCAGTTCGGAGACGAAAGGCGGGATCATGCATGGGCCGTAGTCGTCTTCGACCCCTTGCCGGTCGCCGCGCTGATTGTCCCAATGGCCGGGCGGCGTGGCGGGGCACATGGGGTCAATCCTGGACGGGACGAAAGTGGGAGAACAGAAAGCCGACACGAAGGATTGCAAAAAAACGAAGGATTGCAAAGGATTGCAAAAAAACCCTTCGTTCAACGAAGGGTTTTTTGCAAAGGGTTTTTGTTGCAAAGGGTTTTTTGCAATCCTTCGTTCAACGAAGGTTTTTTTGCAATCCTTCGTTCAGAGTTTTTTTTTGCAATCCTTCGTTGTTTGAAATCCTTCGCACCAAGAAAGAAATTCTTACGCGAAATTTTGAATTCCGTTCTTGGGCCAGCGTAACCCCGCCCTGGACTGCGGAAGCGCAGGGCGGCTGCGGAGGGCGGGGGAGTAGGGCGAGGTCGCGCCGCAGGGAGGAGGGAGGAGCAGAGCGACACTGGCGGGGCGCTCTCGGGAGATTTATTTCTCATTTTCTTGAACCAACTGATCTATCTTCCAGTTCGTATTTTAAGGGAGTTACAGGGAAGCTTTCTAAACATGTTGTCAATCAGATAATCAAGTATTTTAAGCTTTCATTTTGATTGTATTAATTAGAACACGTGATGGAGGAGGGAGAGCAGAAAGAAGAATGCGGCATCCTCCATGACCGAAGCCTCACCCCCCCCACCGCCGCCCCCCGCCAACTCGTCCCCCTCGTGTGCCCCCCCCCCCCCCCCTCTTCCCACACCCGCCCTCTGTCCGCCCGTGTCGCATGCCTGACCCCCACATATGACCGAAGCCAACACCCGACGATTCCGAACCGCCTACTCCCAGCGAAAGGGGGCGGCGGCCGCCCTGCGCGTCTGGGGCCAAAGCCCGTTGTTCCCTCTTGACCCGGGCCCGCAACCCCTGGCGAACTTCCGAAATCGTCGAGGAGTTCAGCTCGCCCATGGGGCCGCCGTTCCCAGAGGGGGCCTTGGTGCTGGTGTCGGCTTTTTGATGTTACGCAGGGAGCGAAAAGCCGGCACCAACACCAAGACGCCACTGGAAAAGTTGGGAGCGTTTTTCCTGTGGGGGCTGAGCGACCCAAAAGAGCCTGGAAAGCTTGAGATGGTTCGCATTGCTTTCCGAATTTGCAGACCATGGGGCTTGCATGATAGAAAAGCGCCCCATGGGGCTCATGGCGCCCTAGGGCCCATGGGGCTCCCATGGCCCGCGGGATTCGCAAGGCCCAGAAACCCGATGTGACCTGACGAATCAAGGGGCCCATGGGGCCCGCGCGGCTCACTAGGCCAGCGCGGCGCGATGGGCCCATGCGCGCTGCGACGCACTGCACGTGCGGCCCAAGAAACCTTTGTGAGACTTGTGGGGTTCATCGTGCCGGCTGGGCTCACGCGGCCCACGGGCTACGCGCGGCATGTGGAAATCCGAACGCTCACCTGGTGACATAGAAACGACCCGCCTTGTTCCCACGAGCTCACAGCTGGCATTCACCAGCGCGGGACACGCGAGCCCGAAGACACGGGCGACGGCAGTCAACGCGGCAATGATATGTTTTGCCAATGGGATCCTGGTGTTGGTGTCGGGCCCCGTTGCGCCGAGAAAGGAGGCGCCTCCAGATTGAGCTGCGGTTTGGAGTCGGTGGTGTTGGTGGCTCCAGTTTGGTCGCAGGCGCTTGTATTGATGTGTTCTCTGTTGGATCTTACCGCGCTGACAGAAATTGTGATATCGCGTACCCTAGGTCGTCCCCATGCTCGGGCTGCGTAGGAGTAGCCGACCCAGTGGGCTGCTTCACAGTCGTGGGGCGCTCAGCGTTCTCGCTCTCGGTTGCAGTTCTTCTGAAGAGTCGCCAAGTGTGAGGGATGAGCGAGGCGAGGAGGAGAAGGAGGAGGAGGAGGAGGAGGAGGAGGGGGAGGAGGAGGAGGAGGAGGAGGAGGAGGACGAGGAGGAGGGGGAGGAGGAGGAGGAGGAGGAGGAGGAGGAGGAGGAGGAGGAGGAGGAGGAGGAGGAGGAGGAGGGGGAGGAGGCCTGGACCAGAGCACTGTCATTTCGAGGCCTATGCGCCACGGTGGGGCCCGCTGCTTTTTCGTGATTCATGGCGGTGGCGTCGCGGCCGTCACCTGGCATGGCCTCGCGGGCGCCATGGCGCTGGTGCCGCGCCTGGACGTCACCGCGGGGCGGGCGCGGATGGAACGGAAACGCCCGAACCTCCTCCTCCTCTTCCTCCTCCGCCTCCTCCTTCTGCTCCTCCTCCTCCACCTCCGCATGATACGATATCATGCCGCTTCTCCCTGGACCTCTCACGAGGTGCATTCTGACCAGAATCTCCAGGCGAATTCCGCAGTGGCGACGAGGGCCTCTCAAGAGGCACATACAAGCGAAAACGAGGAAAGTGCAGCGGCATCAGCACTTGTAAATCCCGACGAGATCTGCATCTTGGCCGCACACGAGGGGGCTCTGGAAGTTCGGGCGGGGGGCAATTTGCAGGCCGGCGTCTAATCCATGTAGGCAGCGCGATTGCTTCGGCAGCAGCTTACCGCGAGGTCAGGAGCTGCTTGGGCAGCGCTCTCTCCTCGTGTGCGTTGACCTCCTCGAATGTACAATGACTTTTCTGATGTTCTGGCGAGGGTCTTGGGCTGGTAACCTGACGTCAGATGCGCGACCGTCCCAGACCCCGTGGTGCTCACCGGTCGCTACCCAACTCCTCCCCAGCATTCCCCGCCCCTTCGCCCCACCCGGACGGGGGGCCACTGTTGCAGCCAGCCCCAGCCGCGCCAGCCGGGGCGCCGCACGGCCGGCGCCTCGCCCGCCCCCCCGCCGCTGGCCCTCCGCCGGCCGCCTCAGCCCGCATCTGCCCACCCAACCAGGATCGAGCGTAGGTCTCTCTAGCTCCCGGATGGGGTCAGGAAGGAGGGGGTCGGAGGATCGCGCGGCATCGCCGATGCATCGGCGATGTACCAGCGACGCCAGTGATGCATCGGCGCCATCGGCGTGGGGAGAAACGTGCTCCCGATCGAGTCGAGTCGCATCGCAGATGCATCGGCAATGCGGGGAGACCCTCCGATACGATCTGCTCCGACCCAATCTGGGAGGCCTTGACGATCTCGAACATTGGCGAGCCAAAAAGCAATGACAGCCGTATGGCTGCGCCCTCAAACTGAGGGAATCCTGAAGATCGGCATCGAGATAAGGTGATGCCAATCCTAGGGATAGGGATGTGTTTCAGGCTGGTAACCAGTGTCCACATCGCGCCCCGCGCTGCGCGGTTATCTTCGAGAACCAGTGGTAGGACAGAGCGTCCGGAGACCTCGGAATCCCCAATGACCTCACCGCACGGCCCGACACCGCAAGGTGTTCGGTCCTCGGAGGCCCCAGTCGCGCGAGACGTCCTCGGAGAACAACTCGAGCCCCAACACAGTGCGGTCACCCAGAATCCCCACTGACTCACCACACTGTGTGGTCACCGCATCTTTTGGGGGCCTCCGAGAAGCAAGGACCGGGACATTGTCGGACCAGAACAGAAGGGGGTGAGATCCAGCGGTTCTGGAAGCTGTCTCGGGCGCCGAGGCAATTCCAGAACGCCCGAAAGGCTCTGAGAGCATTCCTGGACCGCTCTGAGAACGATTTACCCCAGTCCTGGACCCGCACGATCCGCGCCGCGCCCCCAGAGAATGGCAGCTCTCTGGCCCAGACCGCGATGCGCGAGGCGCGGTCGTCTTCCGCACCCCTTGGTGTGACACGGGGCCGTGCTCTTGCGTCAGTTCTTGGCTCCATGGGTGAAGGCTTCTTCTTTGCTCAGTGGTTGCCCTTTCGGGATCAGGGTCCTTTTCGTGAGCAGAGAAGGGGAGCCCACGCACTGTGAGGGGATCGGAGGGATAGGTGGGACGTCAGACATGGCGCGAGCGCACTTAGCTTACCCCCTTCCCTCTCTCCGCTCCTCTCCCCTTCATCCCTCCCCCACGTTGGTCTTTCTGCTCGTCCTCCCACTCCCCCACACCCCCTAGACCTCCCTTCCACATCTACCTTCCTCTGCCCATGCTCCTGCCCCATTGCGTTTCCACTCTCGCTCCTCCCCTCCCATCTTCCTAGTCTACACCTCCTCCCCCCCTCCCTCAAAATGCCCTCAACACCCCCGAAAAGGCCGCCCTCTGACGCCCCCACGGAGACCCCCAAACGACCCCCACAAGGCCCCCGAGACGCCCACATGCCCGCACCAGTCGAGAGAGTGACTTGCAAGCCCTCCGCGAGGAGCTCGCCAAGGACAGCACTGAGAATGTGCTGTGGCTTTCTGTCGCTCCGAATGCGCCCTCCCCACCCGCAACAGGCATTCCAAGAGATCGCAGCTGGCATCCAAGAGGCCTATTGCACAGGCACGGTGGAGGATGGGCGGACTGCCACTGGATCCGCCGACCGAGTTCACTGGACGTTGGATCTCTTGTCGACCACGAAGCGGGCCCAATACGGTCCAACCTTGCCTCCAAGACGGTCCCACATGCCACGAAGCTGGCGAAGATGGCCTGCACATCGGTCAAGAAGTCCCAAAGACAGCGCAAGATGACCTCAAGACGTCCTAGCTCCGACTCAAGACGGCTGAAGAGACATCCTAAACGCCACGAAGCCTCCACGAGCACTCCCGAGAAGACCCGCACGAGGGACGATTCTTTGATTTCCTTTCTGGTGTTTGCGGGTTGGGCGTGGCCTCCAAGGCCCCCAACCAGACGAAGAGGACCCCAAGACACCGGACAATGCCTCCAAGACAACCCGAGGAGGCCCCCAAGACGGACGGTGGGCTCGAAAGTACATTTGAAGCCCTCGGCCAAGAGGACCCCAGGAGGCCCTAAGAGTCTCCCAAGAGACTCCAAGATGCCCAAAAGAGGTAAGCCCTAAGACGCATCAAGAGGCTCCCAAGAGGCCCCCAAGAAGCTCCCAAGGGGCCCCAGACTTCCTCCCAAGAGGCCCCCGAGAGATTTCCGAAGAGACCCCAAAAAGCATCCATCTGACCCACGTCAGCGTCGTCATCGTCGCCGCTGCCGCCGCCGCCGTGGTCGTTATCGTCGCCCCAGTTCAGGGTCGGCGGCATCATCAGCCACACATGCATATTCCTCTTCCTATATTTTTACAAGCCCGGGGGGGGGGGGGAACCGTCACTCCCCCCAAAAAAACTGGATCCCTGGGATCTGGGGTTCTCGGGCTCCCTTGGACGTCCTTGGAAAAGGTCACCCGGCTTTCTGGGTCTCCACAAACGCCTTGCCAGCAGACCCAGAGCGATCAGAGGGGTCATCAGAAAGGCTAAAGGGAGGCCCCAAACAGCACAAGAGCGCTCCAAGAGGGACTCCAATTGCTTCCGGACGGCCCAAAAGACCCCAAGGCACCCCAAAAAGCTTTCCAAGGGGCCTTCAAAACACAAACATTGTCCAATTCCCGTCGTGAAACTTACAATTTTAGCTTATTCGCCTTTCGGATTGCATCAGCTTTCAAGACGGCTTTAAAGCCCCCGAGATCGCCTCAAGACGCCCCAAAAGGCCCCCAAGAAAGCTTCAAGACGGCCGAGCTGGGCCCCACGATCGCCCAAGAAAGCCCCAAGACAGCCCATCATGGACTCAAGAGGCCCAACAAGGTCTCCCAGCACAGACCCACAAGGGCCATGGGAGGTCCCCGGAAGTGCCAAAGAGGGGTCCAAAGGGGGCTCCAGCGGGCCCAACCTCCCCAAGACGGCCCAAGAAGGCCCCAGGACGGCCCATGAAGGCGCCAAAACGGCCCACGAGGGTCCCGAAAACACCAATTCGTCGTCGTCGTCGCCGTCGCTGCCGTCGTCGTGGTCGTCGTCGTCGTCGTCGTCGTCGTCGTCGTCGTCGTCGTCGTCGTCATCGTCCTCGTGGCCGGGAGGGGCGCCCCAGGAGGGCGCCAGCCGTCCACATGTCGTCGTCGTCGTCCTTTTCGTCGTCGTCGTCGTTCATTGTCGTAATCGTCGTCGTTATCGTCGTCGTCCCCGTTTCGGCCAGCCCGCCGGCTTTGCTCGGCCCGGCCCGGCCGGCAACTCAGGAGGAGGATGAGGAGGAGAGGAGGAGGAAGAAGAGGATGTGGACCAGGAGAACGCGAATAAGAAAATGAAGAAACAGGAAGAGGGAATTATACGCAAGGGGAAAGCGGAGGACGAGTGGCGAGTATCACCCAGACAGAAAACGAGGAGGGGGAGGAGGAAGAGGGAGTCGTGAGATCCGCTTCGCCCGGGTATGCTCACAACTCCCACCTCGGAAACGCTTTGCCTCGCAGTGGTCCCGCCATTTTCGCCTGAGACATCCTCGCAACTCTGGAGTCCGAGACGCCCTGGCCTGAGGTGTTCAGGCCAACTTGGCCTGAGACAGTCTCGCACGTCTGACTTTGGAGGTGCCCTGCACCATGGTGGTTAGCCTATTTTCGCCTACGACTTCTCGCAACTCTGGATTTCGGGATGCCCTGAGCTGAGGTGTTCAGACCACTCTTCGCTTGAGACTTCCTCGCAAGGCTGACTTCGGAGATGCCCCGCCCCATAGTGCTCGGGCCAGTTGCGCCTAAGACATCCTCGCAACTCTGACCTCGGAGGTGCTCTACCCCAAAGTGGTCCGGCCACTTCCGCATGCGACACCCTCGCAACTCTGCGTCCAGGGATGTCCTAAGCTGCGGTGTTCCGGTCACTTTCGCCAGAGCCATCCTCACAACTTTCGGTTCCGAGGTGCCCTGAGCTGAGGAAATCAGACCACTGGCCTGAGACCTCCTCCGAACTCTGACCTCGGAGAAGCCCTGCCCCAAGGTGGTCCAGCCACTTCCGCTTTGAGACTTTCTCGCAACTCTACGTTCCAGGGCTCCTTGAGCTGAGGTGTTCGGGCCACTTTCGCTAGAAACGTTCTCGCAGCTCTGGGTTCCGAGATGCCCTGCCCCATGGTATTCCGCCACTTTCGCTTGAGACATCCTCGTGTCTCTGAGTTCCGGTCTGTCCTGAACTGAGGTGTTCAGGCCGTTTTCGCTTGAGACATCCTCGCAACTCTGAGTTCCGGTATGTCATGAGCGGAAGTGTTCAGGCCAATTTCGCTTGAGACATCCTCGCACACTGACCTCGGCGATGCATTGTCCCATGGTCATCTGGCCATTTTCGCCTGAGACCCTCGCACCTTTGAGTTGCGAGATGCCCTGAGCAACTGGTCAGGCCACTACTGCCTGAGATACGCATGTGTATGCGAACCCATAGTTCTATACATATACATATATATATATACATACACACAAGTGGGCGTGCACCGAGAAAGCACGTACGAGTTGCATATGCATGTTCGTACCCTTACACACATACATGTATATGTACAGATGTACGCTGTATACAAACCTACAACACTATATACATATCTAGACACATATATATATAATCTACGGCACGTGCATGCGCGTGCGCGTGTATACATGCATGCGCGCATGCACGCACGCACGCATTCCGCTTGCGTGCGGAACTCAAAGGACCAAGGTGCATGGCGCGTAGCGCCAATGCAGTCTTGTATATATACGTTTATATTTATATATAAATAAGTTAATGTATGTGTGTGCACTCACCAAACAGTGCTTGCACTTAGGGGTTCTTACATGTTTCTCCGGATGTGGTGCTGTACGTCGGTCTGGCGGCTATGTTTGCGCCATGTCCGCCCCGTCGCCGCCTCGTCGCCGCCCGTCGTCTGGGCATGGCCGCTGGTCCGACGGTTATTTTGCACCACGAAAACTGATTCACAAACATTAGACTAGATGTATTGCACAACAACTATTGCACAACATGTATCGCCCCAAATATATTGCACATCACACATTGCTAAAGCCTACTGTTTGGGTTTAGGGGAGGTCCACGCTGGCTAACACATATACATCTATACATGTGTAGGTATGCGCATTGCAGGTGCCTGTTCGAGACGGTGAACTCGGCCGCATTTGGGGAATAACAGAAGCGGTGTAGTTCTTGCCATTCTGGCCACAACGTGCGTCTTTGACCATTGGGGGCAACCACGCCCCTGCCCACACGCATACAGCAAGGTGCAAACGATGTGCATTGCATATCCAGGAACGCAAACTGAATGATGACTCCACTTGTAACTCGACAACTGCAGTTTTGGGTCAGTGCGCAGGGGCGGGGCTGACATTGTCTTGCAAGCAAACAATTGCGTAAACTTACCACTTCTAAGGTCTGCGCGGACCTTACAAAGTGCATGTCTATGCCGCGTATTTCTCTTCGGAGACAAGGACATCCTTTGGGGGACACGTTAGGAGGACTGGCTCAAGGGGGGAACATCGACCTCGAATCGGCAACACATGATCCCTGGTCGAAGGTTCACAGCCCCCCCCTCCCCCTGATGGGATGGGTGCCAGTGTTCCACGGGCCCCCACCCCCTGATTACAAGGACGGGGGACGACGACGACGACGACGACGACGACGACGACGACGACCACGATGACAGCGACGATGACGACGAAAGACGACGACGACGTCGACGACGAAAGACGACGACGACGAAAGAGCACGACGTCCACCCTCCACCGCGCCACGCCACCAGGGCCAGGACCACAGGGGAGGGGGGACCCATGCTGTGGGGGGGGGAGCCTTGGATCACATATCGCCGATAGATCTGCGATAAACCCCCGATAACGAATCCACGCGTTCCTGGGCGGGGTGAACTATCGGGCCTCCATCGGCGAACGAATGTCGATTGGGGGTCGATGCATCACCCCCTGAGCATATCCCTCCCAGAGCGACAGGAGTCCTGCGCAGGGCAGGAAAGCCCGCTGGGCATGAGAGGGGGACATGGGGGCCGACCCTCCTCATCGTCCCTCTCGATGTCCTCATCCTGCCCTCCCCCGCCTCCTCACCCTCGCCTCTCCTCTCCTCACCCCCCTCAATCCGTATGCTCCGTCTCCCCACCCACCCACCCAGTACTCAGTACGGTGTGATTTCGACGCCGCCAGCAGAGGCTGGCCGCGCTGCAAAAAAAACAAATCCCCCCACACAATACTTGCACTCCCTCCAGCGCTTCCTCCCCCCCTGCCTCCACCACACTCCCCTTCAACCTCATCTCGCCTACCCCTGGTCTCTCACTCCTCCACCCGGTCCCCCAGTCCCCCCTCCTCCCTCCGCGTGACTCCACTTCACTCCATCTCCCACCTCATCCCTACTCACTCCAACCCCCTCCTCCGGAGTTCCCTCTCCTCCTCCCTCCCTCCTCTTCCTCCCCTGACTCTCCTGTCCCCCTTCTCCCTCCATCATCCCCTCATCACTCCTCGTCACTCCACTCACCCCCTCCTCGCTCCTCATCGATCGCCACACCCATCCATTTCCCTCCCCCCGTTCCTCGCCTTGCCCCTCCATCCTCCCGCTCCTCCTCCTCCTCCTCCTACTCCTCCTCCTCCTCCTCCTCCTCATCATCATCATCCTCCTCTCCCCTCCCTCCCGAGCATCTCCGTCATCAATCTTGCTCCCCCCGCTCCCCCCTGCCCCTCAACAGGCCTAGGGTTCTTGTTTGAGACCACCACCTGGTAGAATGCAGGCGCTCAACTCTCCCACTCCTCCCACCAATGTGCTGACTCGCTCGTGTCCCTCGGAGATGAGCGTCGCAATCTGCTTTTCGAGTTGAGGTTTTAAGCAGCCCTGATAGGTCTACAGCTCTGGAGGGCTATTCCTCAGGCAGTCTTGGGAGGCTCTGGAGTCCCCTGGAGGCCCAGAGAGGAACACAAACGCAGTTCAAAAACCTCGGCCATCGAGCCTCGATTTCAAAGAGAAGGAGGAGGATGTGATGCCGAAATTGATAAACATCCACCGCCTGGGGAGCATGGGGCGATGAATACAGTGGAGGCCCATGCCAAGAAACACCTGGCTTGCCTCCAGGGTGCCCTGGGTTCCTTGGGTTCCTTGGGTCTCCATGGTTTTGCAATGAAAAGCGTGACGTTCCCACATCAAAAATTTATGGACGTCCTGGGTTCTCAGGGTCGGGTTTCTTGTGGAAGTTTTCTTGTGGACAAGCCTCCACTGTACGGACACAATCCACACTGGCCACGGCAAGCCCCGGCCACAGAGGGGCTCCCCGACCTGGATCTAGGGGATGGCCCTAACAAGCCAGGTGGCCCCCCCGAGCCCGAAGGGGCCCTTACAATAAAGGCTCAGGGCACCCTGGAGGCAAACACGGTGTTTCTTGGCATGGGCCCCCACCGTACTTCACCGCCACGAGCGCGTGTGTCCGCCGCAGGGTGACCGACCGTATGCGTGCCCACCGCCGCCCGCCCGCGGTCCAGGACCGGCTGCATAGGCGGTGGATGTGCATAAATCCCAGCCTCGGCGAAGGAGGCCCGCCGGAGCGGTGCCGGAATCGCCGCCAGGGGGGCCCTGGGCGCCGATCCGAGCGATCCGCGCGAAGCTCCGAAAGTTCACGTTCATCCCATGTATGTCCCTCGGATGATCGACATCGGGGAACTTCTGAACCGGGTCGATCCAGACCCGGGTCAGCCAGGCCTTGCAGAATCCTGCGCCCACACCCGGGTTAGTGCGAAGGACCCTGCAGGATCCTGCGCCCAAGCCCGGGTCAGTGCGACCCGGGCCCAGCAGGACCCTGCAAGATCGGGCGCTCGGGCGGATCCCCGTCTGCGCTGACCCCCGTCTCGGGGCTCCCGACGACGCCTCCCCCGGGACCTCTCCGGCGGCGGGGCCGCGCCGCCGCCATCGCTCCGCGGGAGCCCGCGGAGGCCACGCGCGGGGAGCCGCCTGGCTGAGGAAGCGGCCCTGGCGGCAGCGACCGATCACCGAGTGACGACGACGACGACGACGATGACGACGACGGCGACGACAGCGACGACCGCGACGGACAACGCGACCGACGACGGACGACTGCGGACGACGACGGAACACGGCAGCGACCGCCCCGCACTACGACAAGGCCTAGCGCATCACCTGACCAGCACGCGGAGCGAACGGCTCGGCGGCGCGACCAGGGGTCGAGCGCCTTCTCGGTGACGCGTGCAACGCTGCGACAAGATCATCGCCAGTACACAACCGAATACCGAGTTGCACTACCGCGAGGTGCAAAGCAATGCCGAACCTTCGGTCGGGAAGGGGAGAGAGGGAGAGAGAGAGAGAGAGGGAGAGAGAGAGAGAGAGAGAACAAAACACTTCGGTTGGAGGAAGAAGAACGAGAGAGGGAGAGGAAGAGAGACAGCAAAAACAGCACCATCATCAACATCATCATCACCATCATCATCATCACCACCATCATCATCACATAAGCATGAGCATCATCATCATCATGATCCGCATCAACATCAACATCACCATCATCATCACCATCACCACCGTCATCATCATCAGCATCATCATCATCATCATCACCATCGTCATCATCATCATCAGCATCATTAACATCATCATCATATTAATCATCATTTTCTTCACCACCTCCATCCCCCGCCTCCATCCCCACTCCGTTCCTCTCCAGGCTCAATCAGTATCCTCCTCCCCTCCTCCTGGAGAGGGAGGGGCAGGGATGGGATCAGGGTGCCCACCCCAGCGCAGGTCCCTCGATGAAAGCCCTGCGACGGGAACACCTCCAACCTCGTGGGACACACACACACACACATACACAAACACACACTGTGAAGTCAGCGGCTCAGGGCGCCCTCAGGCGCGAGCAGCAGGTGGAACACGCACGCACGCACGCACGCACGCACGCACGCACGCACGCATACACTCGTTGTGGCGTCGCGGCCCCGCGGGCGGCGACAGAGCGTAGAAAGTCGGAAGGCAGTGAAGCGCGCGCGCGCGAAACACACACACACACACACACACACCCGCGCGCGCGCACCCCGCAGGATCCTGCGAGGCGCCTACCTGGGAGCAGGGGGGGGGGGAGGAGTTGGACGCGCGGGCGGGGGGGCATGAGGGATCGGGAGAGGAAGAAGGGCACGGCAGCGGGCAGGAGCCGCAGGGAGGCGGCGGCGGCGGCGGGGGGGGGGGTCGTTTTTTCGTCCGCCGCCCGAGGCGCGGAGCGGCCACGGAGAGGCGGCACCTCCCGCGCCCTCTAACGAGGCCGCCGAGGCCCCCAGGGCGGGGCGGCGCTCCCGAGCGGGACAGGGAGGAGGGCCCCCGCGGCGCCCGGCACGAGCCCGACAGTGCCTGCCGCTCCGCGCGCCTGGCCCTCCTCCTCCTCCTCCTCCTCCTCCTCCTCCTCCTCCTCCTCCTCCTCCTCCTCCTCCTCCTCCTCCTCCTCCTCCTCCTCCTCCTCCTACCTATGGTAGTGGTGGTGGGAAGTCGGCCCATCATCCAGTTCTCGAGGGGGGAGGGAGGTATCGGGGCTTCCGGGCGTCGCTGGCTCTCTGGAGGCCCGATACGACAACACGCAACACGTAGCGCATTGATACGGAGCGAGGTCTCCGTGAGAGGAGGGGAGCAGACCAGGACATAAACAGGAGCTGTCGGAGGTCCGCGCGCCCCTCCGAGGGTTTGTAACCATGTCAGTGCTTATTCCTCGGGCCCGTCCAGATCAGGAAGCCATTAGGCCAGATGGCCCCAGGTGAGGTTAAGGATGAAACCGATCAAGCAAAATTGAGCGGGCTCATGCTGGACGGGGTCTGAGTTCGACACGGGTTAGATACAATATATGCCAGAATATGGTCGATTTGGCGTGGCCCCCTCCGAGGTCTGAGAGGATCGCATCCCGAAATCGGATCGGATCGGATCGGAAACGGATCGCGTCGCCAGCGATTCGTTCCGAATCGAATCGACATCGGATCGCCATGCCAAGCTCAGGCTGGCCCCTGCCGGTGTCTGTGAACCAAGCAAAACCATATCGACTCAGAATTGCGGCCCGAGCCCACGAATTGGAATCGAACCCGACCACCGAAAATCACTTCGATCAGAGGACTGCGCGCTAAATTTTGAAAGTCGAATTCAACCGTCCAGAGCACGTAGCTTCCTGGGAGAACTGCGTGCTTGTGTGAAGTGGCATTCGACTGCCACAAGCACGCAGTTCTCTCGGGAACCTATCTGCGTCTGCTTGACGCCACGTTCGATGCACTTCTCTCAAGCCTCCTCCCTCGTCCTCCTCCCGCCCTGCCCCGATGCTTGCCCTGCTGATGCCCCCTCCTGCTCCGCTACCGCTGAAGCTCCTCCTCCTCCTGCCTATCTGTTGCTGCTGCTCCTCCTGCTGCCCTGCCCCTTCCACTTCCTGCACCGCTGCTTCTCCCCCTCCCCCCACCCTGGGTCCTCATCCATCTCCCATCCCTCCTCGTCCCAAGACGAAGCCAGGACACCGACGATCAAATCTCATAGATCCGGCGATTCTGGAAGACGTATCGGGCGCCGCGGCCGTTCCAGAGCACTCCCGCACGCTCTGCGAGTGACTCTGGCGCGAGTTATCCCCGTCCTGGGCCTGCCCGACGATCATCCCTCGGGGGGGACCATATAGAGGGCGACTGGGTCAGGGGAGGGAACACTGACGTGGAATCGGCGATGCATCGCCGTCTGATCGGCGACGACAGGCTCTCGACAAAGAATCTGCACCATCCTAGGCGGGTGGGGGCATCCAGGCCCCGGTCGGCGTGGCAGGGGCGAGGCTTGCCCTCCCGGGGCTGGGCCCCTCCTCTCCCTCCTACCCCCCCACAACGTTGCCCCTGAACCTCCCGACGTTGCCCTCTCGCGGCCGCTCGGGTCGATTCGGGCACGCCTGGAACGCTCTTAGCTCGGCGCAGCTGCAGGAGAGCACCCCGAAGCTGGAGACCACCGAGAGCCAACGAAAACGCATGCAAACATATAATCTCAACCGCATATTCTCTGTCATTTCCGATGACTCCTCCTCAGCCCGGAGATCCGACGTTGCAAAACAAAGCAGCATCACAAAACAAAAAACACTAGACCGCATCTTTCTGCAGAACTTTCGAGCCGCATCGATCTGTAAGGGTCATAGGGCCCCAAACAAGGCGACGCGAGGATCTCATGAACTTGTTGCATTGCTCACGAGAACGCCCGTGACCGGCCCCGCCCCATCCTTCTCCCCTCACTGAGCACGTCACGATTCGTGCCGGCGCCGTCTGGGAATGAGCAATTCGAGGGGTCCCCAAACGGCGCCGGCGCGAATCGTGACGTGACCGGTCCCCTCCCTCCCCTCCCCCCCCATCCCCCGCCAAGCCCATTATAGCCAGGGTGTAAGGCAGAAAGCTTCCGAGCGCCTGCCCCTTCCTCCTGCTGCTCTTCCTGCTGCTGCTGGCCCCCCGGCCGGGCGCGGCGAGGGCCCCTCGTCGCGCGCGGGACGGCCGCCCAGAGCGCAGTTCTGCGTGGGACGGCCGCGCCCCCCAAGGCGGAGATTTGGACGCCCGAAATGGGTACCGAAAGAATGGGCACTATGCCCAGCAGCAAATGTTGTCCCAAACCAACAGCGGCCGCTGTTGGGCGGGCGGCCTTCTCTCGAATGGACACAGGCCGCGGCGGCGCGGACAGCGAGTCCTGTTCAAAATGAACAGGAACTGCTGTTGGGCATTGTACCCATTCTTTCTGTGCCCATTTCGGGCGTCCAGACCCAAGGCGGAGAGGGGAACACGAGCAGGGGAAGGGGGGGAGGCCGGCACAGACATGGGGAGCAAGTGCTGAGAGGTCCGCGCAAGCACGATTCGGAACTGAAGCCAAAGCAGAATACCACTAAGACGGACTAGCCTGGACTAAGGCCACTGACCAAGCCCAGTCAAGCTGGAGTAACACCGTAATTCACCCAGACTAGGCGGGACTATGCTGGATTAGACGGCGCGTTGCCACGAATAGCAGAACATCGGATAATCAGAATCCGCCGGCTCCTCTGTGGGGCAGTCAGGCTGCGAAGCAGAGGTGTCCAAATCTTTGCATCAGTTCCACTTCCCGAATCCGGAATATACATGTTCCTAAGGTCCACTGTTGTAATGGTTTGAGTTCGCGCGAGGGGGAACGGCCAGAAAACCGCCAGTTCACAGCCTCTGAATTCCTGGAAGGACCTTGGGACATGAAACAACAAAAATTTTCCCGGCAAAGCAACCTAACAGCGATGTGTAGAAGCATATCTGAAAGCATTCCCCTTAAGATTCAGATGAAAATCCAGTTGTAGAATTCTGCTGTTCTCGCAGTCGTAGTCGCATTCGCGATGACAGTCGCAGCGGCAACGGCAGTCGCAGTCACAGCCTCAGCCTCAGCCTCAGCCTCAGCCTCAGCCTGCCTCAGCCTCAGCCTGCCTCAGCCTCAGCCTCAGCCTGCTTCAGCCTCAGCCTCAGTCTGCCTTCAGCCTCGGCCTCAGCCTCAGCCTGCCTCAGCCTCAGCCTGCATCAGCCTCAGCCTCAGCCTCAGCCTGCCTCAGGCTTCAGCCTCAGCCTCAGCCTGCCTCAGCCTCAGCCTCAGTCTGCTTCAGCCTCAGCCTCAGTCTGCCTCAGCCTCAGCCTCAGCCTGCCTCGGCCGCAGCATCAGCCTGCCTCAGCATTCAAAATGTGGCCCAGGAATGGAGTTCTGGGAACTAGAAGAACACGAAGTGGCCTACAGTTGGCTCCGGGCATTCAAAATCATGCCCAGGAATGGAGTTCTGGGAACTTGAAGAGCACGAAGTGGCCTACAGTTGGCTCCGGGCATCCAAAATGTGGCCCGGGAATGGAGTTCTGGGAACTCGAAGAGCACGAAGTGGCCTACAGTGGGCTCCGGGCATTCAAAATGTGGCCCGGGAATGGAGTTCTGGGGACTCGAAGACCACGAAGTGGCCTACAGTTGGCTCCGGGCATTCAAAATGTGGCCCGGGAATGGAGTTCTGGGAAGTCGAAGAGCACGAAGTGGCCTACAGTTGGCTCCGGGCATTCAGAATGTGGCCCGGGAATGGAGTTCTGGGAGGTCGAAGAGCACGAAGTGTGTGACTCTTGGCTTAAAACGACTTCTGCGGCACCCTGTCCGGCACCCGCCCAGACCCCCCTGTGGAGTCATCTGCTGCTCTCTTTTGACACCACTAGAAACCTATCAGAACAAGCTGTTAGGTAACAAAAAAAAAAAAACGCGCTCCCGAGGACACATGACCTTGTAAAATACGCGAGGTTGGTGCCCTACACGCCGCAATCCCTAGACAATTATAGTAGATGCGCACTCCACAAGCCACAATCCACGGGTAATTACGCAAGAGCCCCGCTCCCCACGCCACAATACCCTGGAAATGACGCCAGGCTCCCGCTACCGAAACTTCAATATTTCGTACATTACCCGCGGGATGAACAAAACGACTCGGGATGAACAACACGGCCCAGGGTTTCCAAGTTGACATCGCGACGTGGGAACTCTGGGAAACCAGCGATCGGCAGCGTCGTGCAAACCATGATAATAGCACGTTGGTGCCACCGCCCACCTCACAGCAACCTGGCTGCTACCAGGGGTGCGAACGAAATCGAAGGCCGTGCAGAACGCGAAGCGTGCCGAGTAAAACGCAACCCGAAGCATCTGGGGAGAAGGGAGGGGCCGGACAACATGTTTCCCTCCACCTCCGCTGGTTTCTTGCCGAGGGGCCGGTGAGCCAGGAGACCCGCTGGCTAGGGCTCGGGGCCTGGACAGCGCTGTGGACCTGTACCCAAAGAGGGCTAATGTGCGATGTGCTGCAGAAAGCTGCACGTCTAGTATTGAGCCACCGCGGTACGCTGCCAGCCCACAACATGATAACTGGGACGAACCTTGGGCGTACACGTTGCTTACTGGCAGCACGTCTTAGCCCTCCTGAGAAGTCAGGGGAGGAGGAAAAGGAAGGAGGAGGAGGAGGAGGGCCAATGAGGAGGAGGGGAGAAGAGGAGGAACGTAACAGGGAGCAGCAAGGAGGAGGGAAAAAGAGGACAGAAAGAGGAAGGAAGGAGGAATAATGAAGGAAGAAGACGAAGGAAGGAAGAGGAAGGAAGGAAGGAACAAAGCAGAACGGAAGAATAATAAAGAGGAGGAGGAGGAGGAGGGGAAGGAGGAAGGAGGGAAAGAAAAGGGAGAAGGGGGGGGAGAATGGGCATCCGGGCTCCTCGGTGCACCGCTGGAGACTCGGGAGCCTCCAAATCTGCCTTCCGTGTTCCCCCAAGAAGGCCCCAAGATAGGCGAAGGGGAAACACTCGAACCGAACATTTAGATTTCCGCCCCAAGGGCCCCCCCACGGCCCAAGGGAACCCCGAAGTAGCTAAACAGATGCCCCCAAGAAGCTCCAAGAGGCCCAAAAGACTCCCCAAGGCGGCTCCCAACACTCTTACACAAAACTGTCTATACGAGGCTTCGCCAGACACCCAAAACACTCCCAAGACACCCACAAGAATCCCTACATACGCCTTAAGCGTGGACTCCACACCTCTTTTGGGGGTCGGCGGAATGGCGTAAGCCTCGTGAGTGCATGAAGAGGAGGGGGAGGAGGAGGAGGAGGAGGAGGAGGAGGAGGAGGAGGAGGAGGAGGAGGAGGAGGAGGAGGAGGAGGAGGAGGAGGAGGAGGAGGAGGAGAGAGGGAGAGGAGGAGGAGGAGATGGAGGAGGAGGAGGAGGAGGAGATGGAGGAGGAGGATGAGAAAAAAGGAAACGAAAAAAACATGATAGACCCACGAACCTGGAAAGGGATATAGAACCGCATGCATGGAAACGTTTTCACGACATCGTATTGGGCGACGGGCACTTCCACGAGACACCCCGCGAAACATTCCACGCGACACGGGCGAGCGTTTCAACGTTTTCCTGGAAACATTCCACGAGACACCCCGCGAAACAGTCCACGAGACACCCCACGAAACATTCCACGACGACAGGCAACCACTCAACCAAATCGGTGTGGTCGTGCTGGGGAGTGGTCGTGCTGGGGTGTGGTCGTGTTGGGGGGTGGTCGTGCTGGGGGGGTAATTAGTCGTGCTGGGGGGTGGTCGTGCTGGGGCGTGGTCGTGCTGGGGCGTGGTCGTGCTGGGGCGAAGTCGTGCTGGGGCGTGGTCGCGCTGGGGTGTGGTCGTGTGGTCTACAAAAACAAGCGATTCGCTCGAGACATCCTCGGTAACTCTGCGGAGCAAGCGTTTCGCTCGAGACGGCCTCAACACACGAAAAAGTGGCCCGCACCCTGTGATTTATCGATCGGGATTTCAAAAACAAGCGTTTCGCTTGAGACATCCTCAAATTTTAATCCGCCGGCCCACCTCGATCTAGACATTTATCAGAAAGAATCCGCAGGCCCACCTCAGTTGAGGCACCGGGGACAGGTTTACCATCCTAAAAGAGACCCCTGGGCCTGCGACCTTTCCGGGGGAAGCAAAAAAAACATAAGGAGGAAGAGGAAGAGGAAGAGGAGGAGGAGGAGGAGGAGGAGGAGGAGGAAAAAGGGGGAGCGAAGACGGGCCGCGCTGCTCTTATCGGCCACCTGCCGCCGTCTCCTTCTCCTTGAGGCGCTTCTCGCGCGCCTCCCCGCGGCGGCATGGGGCGCAGAAGAGCAAGGGGGGGAGGGCCTCCCCTCGCCCTCCACTCTCCCCCTCTACATCATTCACACCGAGCCGGAGCGACAGTGGGCCCCGTGCGCCTAGAAGCTTCAACCACAACGCTGGGTTTGTGGAGGTCCCACCCCCTCCTCGTAGTCCTCCACCCCTGCTCCCGCATGGTGGCCCGCTCCGCCCTCTTTCACGGCGTCGCAGTGCACGCCAGGGCGTTATGTCTCCTACGCTATGCTACATGCTTCTGCCAATCGCTGTTCGGGCTGCCGTTTGTCTGCCTCCCCCTCTCCCCCAGGAGGTGCCGAGAGAGTCGCGAGACCCCCCCCCCTCCTCCTCCTCCTTCGCCTCCTCCTTTCCTTCTTATCAGTATTCCTTTTATTATTCGTCTTCTTCTTATTATCAATACTATCATTCCCATTCTCATTCGTATTATACAGCTCCTGCTGATGCTGTCCTCCCCATTCATCAGCGTGTTTCTCCTGCTCATCCTCCTGCTCCGCCACATCCATCTCCACCTCCTCCTCCTCCTTCAATGCACGCAACTATAATGTTCACGATTGCGCAAAATACAATCGGGGCCACTTGGGGAGTTCCAGGTCCGCTATGACCCGCCTTGACGGATAGAGCTATGACAGGCGAGGGGAGCTACAGACCTCCAAACAGCGAAAACATTAAAGTAGCATGAAAGTAGCTTGAAAGTAACTTATGCGTTTCTTTGTAAACTAACAAAAATATAACCAGGAGAGTAAGTCAACGAGATTCATATAATTCCTGGCATACCCACGAGTAGCTATAGCTACTGCCCGAAAGCTTCTGTTGCCCCTGAAAGTGTAGAGCTCACGGGCCCCCTCTGACGGGCCAAGGCAACCTTTTCGATCGGAGGCTCTGTTCGGATTGCTATTCTGTCGCTGGGTTCTCTGTTATTTGAGGCGTTTCGAACACATGCCTGATGTTTCAATCGGTTTGAACCGCTAATCGAGGTAACACTCAGGTATTCGGTTTCGTTTGGGGCTCTAGGACCTAAGATTCAGCCAACGCAATCGCGACCCCGCCAACTCCATCCTGTAAGAAAGTGGTCGTGCTTATGTGAGGGCGTATTCGTCCGTGGTGGGGGCGGCGTCAGAGGCAGGGTCTGCGGTTTCGTTTCCCTGGGAATGTCTAGAATGAGGTTCGACCTCGAAGAAACCCTGGGCGATTCTCACCCCTCAACTTCTCCAGGATCCCGAAAAACTTATCGGAGAGCGCGAATCTCGGGGGGCGCCCCTCTTACACGCCCCCTGGCGCCGCACTGCGGACCATCGCACGCCGTCGAACTGCAGAAAACTAGATCCCTGAGGACGCAGACGACAAAAGGAAAAGAAATGGAGAGCGCACGACGGGAGGAAACGACGATGGACTGACATGAGAACAGGCGAGGGAGAGAGAGAGGCATGATAGGAAGGCGGCATGGGAAGGTATTTGCGGAGGCTTGAAGGAGGAGGAAGGGCAATGGGGCGGACGAAAGAGCAAGGAATTTGAATGAAGGAGGAATGGCAATGGCGTGGTATGTTTTCACACCGCCTTTGCTGGAACACCGCCGCCAGCACCACTCGAGACCCGTGCCTGCCACGGCGAAACGCTCGAGACTCGTGCCCGATTCGAGCAGCACCCGAACATAGTGTTGTTTGTTGTGGGGGCCGCTCGAGCAGCGATGCGCACGGTGGCAGGGGCCCCGCCACCATAGGAAACCCGCGCCCCGCGAGCACCATAGGAAGCAGCACGCTCATACCACACAACAGTGCATCATTGCTCGAGCAGCCCCCCCTGGGCCAAGCAACCTACGAGGGCGGCTTCATCTGGAGGGCGAGGACCGTCCTCTGAATGACAAGCTTGTGAAACACATCCTTCTCCTTGAGCTTCGTCGAAGCCCTGAACTCTTTGACCCCGAGAGCGACCGAGTCGCGGAGATCCTCCAAACAAATGTCGCTGGCGAGCTTTGTCATCAGCACACCGTGCGCCTTTGCGAGAGCAGCATCGCGCAGCACCTGATCTGCGTTCGTCACGAACGTGTTGTCGACACCTTTGCCAGCCATCGCAATGGAAACCTTGTAGTTCTCGACTGCCTTCGAGACAATCGAAGCAGTCGGAGGGATGGCAAGGCCCCCGCGGGGCCCGTCCTCCGCCTCCTCCCCCTCCTCCTCCTCCCCCTCCCCCTCCTTACCTCAAGTCCTCCTCCTCCTCCTCCTCCCCCTTCTCCTGCGTCCAGCCACCAACCCTCCTGGACTCCATGTGGGGTGTGTTTGCGCTGCCCCACAACCTTGCAGACGCTGTCCTTCGCCGAGAGCGTCTTCTGCGGGCCGACCTGGAGGATGGTCTCGTTCGCCGTCTTCTGCAGATCACCGAACGTCTTGCCCGTGAACCTGTCCAGCCACGATGTCGTCGGGTCCGTGGTGCCAGGGACACCAGTGGCGATCAACGCCAGCGTGTTGATGGCGTCCTTCAGGTGCTTGGTGTCGGCACTGTGCTGCTCCTTGGTGATGTCGTCGAGGAGATCCTTCTCCTCCGTGCAGAAACTGTTCATCTGATGGTACCGTCTGGGGCAATCTGCTTCACTGATGGATCCGAGCTGCTCCTGCAACGTCATCACACGCTGCTGCAACTGCTCTAGCTCGCCGCGAACCGTGGCCTTCTGGAGCAAATCCTTGATGCCAAACTGTCCGCCCTCTCCGTCGTGCCAAAGGCGTCACCATGAGATCTTCGCCCGGTGGAACGTGTCCAAAGCCTTGTAGTGGGCCCAGACGTTTTCAGGACACACCTTCGCCAGCGAACAAGCCAGCCCCTTGTAGGGTGACATTGCCTCACCGACGTTGTCGGGTCGACTGTTCGCCAACATGTACACAAAGAAATCGCACACGTCATTGAAACACGCCATCACGGTCGGCTTCCCCTCGCCATTCCACTTCGCATTGAGGTGGCCCGCGGCTGCACTCCGAAGGCGTTCGATATCGCGCATCAGATCAACATTCCATTCTTTCTGATCGGGGAGCTTCAGATTGCACACCGCAACAATCAGCTTGTACACGCTCGATGCAGCCGCTGTCGCGTTGAAGGTAGCGAGCCTGTTCGCAATGGATGTCCTCAAATGCTCCACGTCATAGATGCCTGAGAAGCAGATGCTGGCCTCCTCAACTGCGCGGGACCAATTCTGCCAAGCAGTGTGGTCCTCGTCGCTCTTCTCCATGAACGCGGCCTGCGTCTGGAACGCAAGATGGAGCCTCCTCTGCATGTCCTCCAATGCCCCTGTTATGAGTTCACTGCGTGCCTCAGCTATGAAGTGTGCGATGTCCTTGAGCGTGGCGGTAGCATTCTCATTCGTGGGGGTCCACTCGCGGGCCAGCAAGGAGGTGAACTGCTCGAACTTGGCAGAGTGCGAAATCATCCCAGGCAGCTTCGCAACGTAATCGAAGAGAGCCCCCTTGTACCAAGTATCGTCGTTGATTGCAGATGCAACTGTCGATAACGTAGTTTTTTTACTGTCTTCCCCAGTGACGCATGGACCTTCACCACGGAATCCTCGGAACAAGCAAGATCTGACAAAGTGTTGCACGACAACCGAAGTTTGAATGGCACAACCCTCAGTCGTTCAAACGCATGCCCCCCCCCTGGAAAAGCCTCGCCCCAGGTCCTGTTCGAAGCAAGCTGAAACACAGGTGCTCGATGTGTGATCCCTGGGTCAGGTTGGCACCAAGAGAAACCCAAATCAACGCTATCCTGACCTATGTAGGGGAATGCGTTGAACACAACTGGCCAGGATGTCGGCCAACTGGACCCGGAGAGCCGACATCGGCCCATGTTTTTGATCGTCCACGTCGACAAAAAAAACTGGTGGTCGATCCGAGGGGCGCGCATTCAACGCTCAGTGTCCTTCAGATCTACATCGAGGCTGACGCTCGCCAAGGCCTTGACGGTCTTCCAGCAATCCATCATGTCGCCCAAGGCCGCGCTCGCCTGGCTGTCCAAGAAAACCAGGTCGGCGCTCTCGTACGCGCGAATGAACGTGTCCACCAAGCTCTCCGTGTAGGTCTTCTGAGACAAGCCAGCCCGAATCTGAGGCACGAGCAGCCTCTCGATCATGATGTGTTGCATCAGTGAAATCTTCTGACCCATTGAAACAGGCAGAGCTTCCAACCTCGGGTTCAGAGGATCGAAAGTCGGAGCGTCAGCGTCGCCCTCGGTCCACGGCGCAATGCATGCGATGAGCTTGTCGAGGTGGCGGCCCTTCTCCAGATCCGCCAGGCAGAGGTTCAAGATATCCTGCATCGTCACAAGTGGCCAATGAACTCCCTCGGCCTGCAGCGACATGATGAGCACGTCCCGTTCCTCCTTGGTATGGATACGGATGTTGTCGCTATGCAGCGCCTTGGCGGCGGTGACGGTCTTCAAGAAATTGTTGAGGATGCGAGCGTCTGTCACATGCGTGCCGCCCATGCCAGCCAAGCGGCTCGCGGCCTTCTTCGCGGCAGCAATCGTCCTGCCGTCCATCGTGTTGTCCAGAACCTTGGCCAAGCTGATCTTTTTCTTCCAGTATGTGAGCACGTCCAAGCCCCCTTGAGACTCGCACCATCAATCAAATACGTTACTACTGATCGCGCTGCTCGTGACGAGCAGGGCCATCACCCCCAGCCCAAAGAGATCCTCGGCCCCGAAACCTTGAAATCCTCGAAACCACCCTTCCCTGGACAACAAATCGGAAACTCAAAATGCATTTCGGAGAGCTCGCATCGATCAGGCGAGGTACTGACGGCCCAAAGGTCCTACACTCACCCCCACCCCCACCCCTCCTTTAAACATTGATACGTGGCGGCACGCCCCCAGCCTACAAGGGAAAACGCCAGGTCCCTCTCGAACCTCAATCTGACGCATCGCGCCAACATGCGAAGCCCAATCAAGCCAAGCCCAAGTCCGAAGTGGTTTCGCTTTGAACCAACCGTAGACCTGCAGCGTGGGACATGAGGGCGGTATCAAGGAGGCTGTTCGCCTGGCTGGCGCCGTCGCCCATGTCATCAGAGCAGACTGAAGCGCCATCGACCGAAGCGCCTCCTGGCGGAGGTGATGGCAACTGTAGTTTCGGAACGGCCTTATTCTGCTGCTTCGCCACGGGGGTCGGGGTGAACGCGGAGATCCCCTTCTTCGGCGCGGCGGCGGCGACTCCCACAAGTTGAGTATCGGTGGCATCATCATCAACGAAGTCCGAAGGCATGCTGTCGGGCTCGCCGTCTGCGTCGCCGTCTTCTCCGTTCAGAGGTCCCTGGTTGGCCTTCGTCAAGAAGGCGCCCAAGGTCTTGAGGTGCCCCTGCTCATCCTTGGCAATCAAGGCTTTCACGCCACTGGCCGCGAACGTGCTGGCGATGTTGTGGGTGGCGATGCGCGAGGCCTGGTCGTAGTAGTAGTGGCTGCTGGTCGGCATGATGTCGGTTTTCACATCGACGCCCTTCCGAACGACGACGTCCACGATTCTGCGCGGGCGCTCTGGGTCTGCGAACATGTACAACGTTTGGTTCTCGATGTTGTTAGGCCCTGCAGGAACTACAATCTGGCTTAGCGTATCAATCAACTTCTTAGGCACGCGTTTCCTGCCCGTGAGGCTGCGGAGCTCCGAATTGTCCGGCGCGATGTAGCGCTTGCGCAACTCGATGCTGTACTCATCATGGGTGGCCGTCGACTCCGCGACTGGGGGTGCGGGAGATGAGCCAGCCTTCACGCTCCGAGCCTTCGCGATGTTCGACTTCATGGTCCCATCATCCTCGTTCTGTTTGCACAACTCGTCCCAAGGCAGATGCGGAAACCCTTCCTGGTGCAGGCTGTAGCATTCTTCGCAGGCGTCGCCAACTGGAAGCTGCTCGCTACCGTTCGCCCTGTTGACAACCTGCTTCAAGGCCCACGGCTTGCCGTCCTGAATGGAGGGCAGATGCGAGATGACAAAAGGAAGGATGGTGAGCCGATAGAGGGATACCGACGGCCAGGTCTCCGTCGCCATGGCCTTGCTCAAGCCACACTGGCACGCGCCCCCGACCTTCCTGGCAGGCTTCCTGCCACCCGGCGCCGCTGCACCAGTGGACGGGGTCCGCCCATCGCTGTCCTGGCCGCTCCTCTTGCCAGCAGCTCGCTTAGCAGCGGGGCTGACGGTCGGCGGAGGAGGCGGCGGCGCTTTGCCGCCCATGGCAGCGCTGACGTGAACGGCCCTTGGCTCACGACCAAGGGTTGGGGCCTCACCCCAGCTGAAAATGATATGGAACCTACAACGGCGGCTGAACCATTGACGTTGATGGCACGCAACCCGCTGGTGGTTGCCATCGTGAGATCGCGAGCCCGACTGAGAGACCCTCGACGAAACACGCCCCTGGGACCTGGAAAACGCAGCGGTTCAAGTGTCCAGGAAAACTCCAGAGAGCGATCGGATTCACTATCGGGATGGCCTTATTGAGCCACGGGACGACGGGGCGAGCCTTTCAAAAACCGAGCGCTGTTCACTGCGCAACTCTGGCCGCTGCTGAAACCGACCCCCGCCTGAATTAGAGCACTCGCTGCGTACATTGCATGTGACATCACTTCGGTTCAGTACTCGGTGAGAGCGTGACCGAATTCGCCCGCGTCGAAACGCGCGGACAACCCCTGGACAAGTAGGCAAGCTAGACTCACGAGGTGTCTCAGACGATGACTGAAATATGGTAAAACTTGCCACAATTGCAACGCAATGCAACCGCAGATCTGTAGGGCGTCAAAACAATCTCGCTCACTTGCGAGTTACGACCAATGCATTCGATCTCTCGGCCCTCTCCGCAGGCGCGGCTGAAACCACGCAGAAGAACCATAACGACTGCCGGCTGACCTCATCACAAAGGCGTGGCAATGGAGGATGAAAAGGGCGAATGACTTGAACTAAGAGACCACCTGGCTGGGGTGGGGGAGGAGGAGGGCGATATCCAACAGGAAGGAAGAAGCGTAGCTTTGGGCAGGTGGCGAGAGGAAACTGGAGGAAGGAAAGCGAGGGGCAAGGATGACTTAAGCAGGAAGGGCTGAGAATACTTTGGAGGAGAAGAGAACTACAGTTGGGTACCTGCTGGGATACGGGAGGGAGTACGGGGGCGATTGGGCACGTGAATACTATATACGAGGTACAAGGGACTACACGAGCTTCTACTTCTACTTCTTCTACTACTACTGCAAGGGATGACATGAACTTTACTACTGCTACTACAAATTATACTGCTAGGAACACTACTAATATTACGACTACTATTACTACTATCAATACTACTAAAGCTACGACTGCTACTACTACTGTTACTTCTACAACGACCACGACTAGTAGTAGTACTACTACTAATACTTCAGGTACTACTGCTACAACTACTAGGAGTGCTTCTACCACTGCAACTGCTGTTATTATTACTGCTACTGCTGCTGCTACTACTACTACTACTAATACTACTACTACTACTACCAGTGCTAGTACTGGTGCTACGAGTACTACTACTATTACTACTTTATAACACTTTCGAACACACGACGGCCTTACTAAATAACAATATGGCAACCCTCTTTGGAAAAAAAAAAAAAGTTTCCGCTGTAGCCCGGCATAAACAATAACAAACGCTTCAAAATTGCAGGCGCCACGTTAAAATCAAACACAAACAAACCGTATTTTCAAATTTCCGCCAAATCAAACATTACCTGGTTACCTTGAAATGAATCATTGCGTCTGGTCATTGAAACACATCGCAAGTTCAAAAACGATATCGGCAATCCAATGTGAGCGCGCATGCCACGAAAACAACAACTGCATCGAACATCAAACTGTTATTCCAGACGGGGATGGGGTGTGATCTCTCACGCGCTATCTCTGGTGGGGATAGCTCCTATTTGCTGCGACGCGTAATGACCTTATCCCGCTGCTGTTTCCACGAGCCGACACCAGTGGGAGAACGCGCGCGCGCCATGGCCGCGAACGCGTGAGCGTGTAATACAACATGCAACAAGCCAGCGCGCGCGATTGCAACTGAAGCGCCACGTTGCTAATTCGCGTCATGAGGATGGACACACTCGCAAAATCCGAAATACAATACCGCATGACAGATGACGCAATCATTGTAGGGAGGGCTGGCAGCGCCATCCGCGCCCGCCAACATGATGACGCCGTGGAAAACCCAACAACCCAGACATCGGGAAACGACGACGTTTGAATTCCCCCTGCAATGCAGAACCCCATGGCTTCACCAACGCGCGCGATGAGTGTGCCGCTATACGTGTACCGTGGGCGCGTGCGCGTGTCGTCGTCGGGGCGTCGGTGGAACTCCCTTTGCGACGACGATCTTTGCGGACGACGCAAAACCGCGTGGAAGGCCCACCCCCTCCCCCTGAGCTTGTTCGGCAAGGCTG